GATATCATTCTGACATCCTTTTTTCTTTGAAGAAACAATACGAATTGTAATGCCATGTTTTTTCAGACGATGAAATTTTTTTTTTTTTTTTGTTCAGAACTTTGTTCATCAAGGGCAGCAAATGAAAAGCAACGAAAAACAGAAAAAAAATGATAGGAATAATAAGTTAGTGTTTTCTGGATTTATGTTTCATGTTCTCAAACAATCTTTTTTTTTTTCTTTTTACTTTTGTTTTGTTTGCCCCCTTTATAAACAGTTTTTTTTGTCCCCATTCTTTTCGTTGCCCAAAGTCACTTTTTTTGGAACACACACACACACATTTTTTTTCTATTATTAATATGAAAAGTTCCATTAGTTTTCTATGTGGCAATATTATTATTATAGAATATAAAACTCATGTTTTGTACATGACACGAAGACAAATCACTCTATTCCAGAAAAAAAATATTATCCATCCTATGTGATATAATAATAATACTGGAATAAAAACGACCTACGACGACGATGATATTGCATGTTCAAATAAGTGAATGAGAGGAAAAAATATCCTTAAAAAAAATAAAATAAACGGGGCGGCACATTACACACACTCATAGAACATGCACGCGAATTCTTACAAGAATATATCGTTTTTCCATACACTTTAAAAAGAGAGCGAGGGAAGAAAAAAAAAGCCAGTGAAAATTATTTGCTGATGATTTTCATTTTTTTTTTTTCTCTCTCTCTCCATTTTACATTGGGCATTTGCTAACGATATTTCTGGTCGTTTCATCGGTTGAATGCGTTTATTCAAAATTTTTTTTATTCTTTTTTTTTGCTATCGTTCTCAAGATTCTGGTACCTAACATTTGTTATGTATGTTATGGCATCCCCTTTTCTCTGGTAAATGTGGAAGAAAAAACAAAGCAAAAATAAATGTGAGAGAGAGAGAAAGAAAAAGAAAATGTCATTTGATGCATTGTCTTGTCATAATTTTTTTTTCTGTTTTCGGAATTCTTGATTTTTTGTCATATAATATTCGTTATATATAGAAAGATAGATAGACACGATGTCATAAAGATTGGCTATTTGCTTGTTTGGCACTTATTTTTGACACATTTTTTTTCACATATATATATTCGCTTTTCGTGTATTGATGAATGAGACATTCCAAAAATGAAAATATCTTCAGAATGCATCATAGATAGACCAAAAAAAAGCATCGAATATCGATAAACAACACACACGGGAAAAAATGTTTGCCACACGTATACATTGAATTAGCTTTTTTTCTTTCTCGTTCTTCGTAATAATAATAATAATTTCTAATTCCATAGTGTAAAAAAATGAAATGTTTCTTCACATTATTATTGGGTATAGAATCCATCAAATTGTTATGTGTTTTATGGTGTCATCTTATTTTTCTTTTTTTTCTTATATAGAATTTTCAACAATATATTTACTGTTGAAAATTTCTCACATTATCATCGTATACAACAGAATTTGAAAACTAATGATTCTTGTATTCTTGTTTTTTCTTTGTTCACAGGGCTATTTACTGGCTTTTTGTTTCTCGGTAAGTAGTGATAATCTTCTTATTATTTTCATGAAACATACACACACACACAAATATATAATTTAATCATTTTTATCTTATGAATAACATTGACATTCAGAATATTTGTGTGTGTGTGTGTGTGTGTGTGTGAAGACATCATTATATGTATTGAAAACATTTTTAATTCTTATTTTTTTCACAAATTTTTTCCTCTTCTCATTTTTTTATATTATTATGTTAAATTATCGATTCCTGTAGCTATTTCGGTAACATCGCTTATCATATTTTTTGTATTGGTTCATCATCCAAATTATAACTTGATGGCATCATTGTTGAGCGACATTTCACATTCAATTCTTTTGATTCTAAGTAGCTTTGCTATTTTGATTGGCTTTTTCAAGATGCGTAATTTGAAATTCTTGCCTGGTAAGTTCTTTCATCTCAATTTTTCTTTCGTTTTGTTGCGTTGAAATACGGTGTGTAACATTCGGTGTCGTATGTTTGCTTGACTGAATGAATGAATTAATGAAAAGATGACGAACGGAATGTTGTCGACTCTTTTATTTATTATTATGTTAATTTTTTTTTCATTTCTGACATTTTAATTTGAATGCAATGGCCTGAACAACAACAACAACAACAAACTAATAATAATAATAAAATGGCAATATGAAGCAATGAGAGATACGGCTGATGGGGGCTTACGTGACTTGCTGTTAAGAATCGCTGCATTCGGCCTTTATGCCTATTCACTATTCGGAGTAATTGCAAGTTCATTTGAATTGAACTCACTTCAACACATTACCGTTTTGGTTACGAGCGTTTTGACTATCATTCAGGTAAATCACATACATACATTTTAATAGAATCTGATGTTTCTCTCGTTTTTCTCTACTTGAAACTAATTTTCAACAAAAACTTGGTGATTTGTGATGATGATAAAAATAAAATATTAAAAAATAGGTGACATTACAAACTTTGTTCATTTCCGATGTTGTTTGCCGAAAACGTACTGGCCAAAAGCAATCTGGACGACAACTAATTACATTTTTGCTTATAACAAACCTAACGCTTTGGATCGTTTATACATTTGTTATGCAAAAGTTGGAAGCATCACCAATTCAATTGAAAGTATTTGGATTCACCACATGGGCATTGATATTACGTATTACGTTACCGCTTTCAATATTTTATCGATTCCATTCTGCCATTACATTTGCTGAAGTATGGAAAAATTCATATAAAACTTCCACATCATCATCAGTATCATCATCATCAACAAATTGAAAACCAAAGATCTCAAATTTGATTCAAAATCAAATGAGAAAACAAAATGATAATAAATAAACTAAAATAAAACTTTTTGTATTGATTATATTACCTACCTTCCTGTTGGATATCACATCGTAACACATACATACAAAGATCAAATTATACCACTAACAACAACAACAACAACAACAACAAAAAAACACACATACATAAACACAGACATTCATTCATTTGGTCTCATTCATTCAATTATTAAACCAACCATATATAACGATGAAGTACATACCATGAATCAATTAATTTTTTTTTCACTCACTATAATCACAAACTCTGTCGCTATCTATCACATAGTTTCATATAATATACCATCATACATTCTTGTTCAATATTGATTATATTGAACGAGCTCATTTTTTTTTTGAATAAACATTATAATGTAATCATTGTCGATCCAAATTGACTGTATATCTGTTTCTCTTTCTCTTTCTCTATCTATCAATTTAAGCAATCCAATACACAATGATATTGGGATATATTATATTCCAGTAATTCATGGTAATTTATTTGGATTGATCAACGAAAGTTAGAGTGAGAGAGAGAGAGAGAGAGAAAGACTTATTTGAGGAACAATCAATTCTTGACTTCGCATATAACAACATTATTTCTGTGTATGAGTGTGTGGTAATAAAAGGCAACCGAAAAAATGGCAACGAACCGATAGCAATTGAAATTAACTTCTCATTTAATGACTTGAATCGATATTATTCATTTGAATTCTCATCTTTATTTCTCTCTTTAGATTCATGTATTTTACTAGATTTTTCATTCATTGCGATGATTATTCCATTCGATTCTAGTTTTTTTTTTGTATATTCCAATACTTCGTTTTTTTTCTCAGCTTGCATCTTTGCCTTTCCGCATTTATTGCCACTGTTTTTGTCATCATTTAATTCGATCCAAATCTTTTCACTTTCAGTTTTTTTTTATTTCAAATATATTTTAGCCGAACGGGTACACATAATAAATACAAATGAAATGTTAAAGAAAAAAAAATGTTCGTGTGTGCCCAGAATGTCAATAATCGACATGATCATCAAAAAAAGATAGACCGACATTGCAGCAAAAAAAAAATAGTTACCATTCATTCACACACACACACACACACAGACAGATACACACGCATGCAACGAATAGATTTGACACAAATCAAATTGAGCATCGTTTGTATCTCATACTATTAAAACACATCGTATATATTAAACGAAATTAAAAACGGATACGACTTGTTTTATTATATATATTATTGCTGCTGTTGTCTTTTTTTTTCTACCACACTACCATAGTAATAATAATCGTTCCATCAATTATGACAATTTATTTTTTTTTTGTTTAGATATTTTTTTTCAAGTTTGTTTGATGATGAGAAAAAAAAGAAAGAAAATTCAAACTTAACACGAAAATGGGATTTATAATCCATTTAATTAAGTATAATATATATTTCCAAGTGTAAACTGTTTTTTAATAGAGAGAGAGAGAGAGAGAGAGAGAGAGTCATTCTTATATCCAGATCGTTTATATTGTATTCGGATGCCATGGATGATAGAATGAAAAATCCAGACAAAAAAATCTTCGTTGGTTGATCACATTGAATGAAAGAATAAAAAACATGATTATTATTAGAAAAATAAAATTTTTTTATTTTTTTTTTTTTCTCCACATTTTCTCTTCTATTATATGATAATAATAATAATGATAATAGTGACAATGAGCTATTATAACGTACAATTTTCAATTCGTTTCGGATTTGAAGTGAAAAAAAATCACAATGATAACTGAATGCAATCGAAAAAAAAGTAATCGCTTTGTAAAATGTTACATTCAATATAGCTTGTCGTTTTCTTTTTCGTTGTTATTGTCTAATTCTTTGTCGATAATCAAACATCAATGACGCCCTAAATTTGTGATTGAATACAAGCAAACGAAAGGGTCGACTTGTTGTTGTTAATGACAATAATAATAATAATAATAATAATAATAATAATCATATGTGAGAGATTGGTAAAGAATGATTTGGTATTGGATGTAAATCAACGCTCAAAGCAGATGTTCGTGTCGAATCGGTCATTGTACCAGTACGGTATGGAAAATGGTATGACTTTTGTTGTTGTTGTATTTGTTGCTTGTCGCGTGTCAGTTCATCATTAATTATTTTCGTGGGATAATAGAAAGAGTTTTCCAATCTAGATTTAGCTGGTAGTTGATTCTGAACACCATCATCATCATCATTGTCTGTGTATTGTTGGTGTGAATAATGGTACTGTTGTTGATTTTGATAATATTGGCGTTGATATAAAATGATGATGATGATGATGATGATTGCCTACAATGATAGGCTGACTAGAACTCGGTATAGTTGATGATGATGATGGTGATGATGTTGTTGATGATGATGATGAGGATTCAGTGGAACAACAGTTTCGGCAACAGCAGCAGGAGCTAAATCGACATTGTCGACATATGCAACAAAAAGGCAAACAACGTTTGTGCCTACGACAGATGACAATCATCATTGTCATAATTAAGATAAGCATAGCGGTGTAAGTAAAAATGTTCACAACTGTTTTCATCGTTGAATTTAATTTTGAGCAAGATAAATCCGTTTCGGACAGTGTAATTAATTTTTTTCCATATAGATAGTTTGGAAAATAACATTTTACTTGGTCTTTCTGGGATTGACTTATCATATTGGAATGTTTTAAATAGGCAATCAACCAACTAAGCGAACAATTACATGCCAATGGATTCTGTTGTAGGTCAATGTAATGAAGGCGTTTTATATTGATTGTTTGCCAATCTAAAAAAGCTATCATATTGGATCGTAGTGATAGATATTCCAATGAATCATGTTGCTGTTCAAATGTACCGATCTCGATACGGCTTAATTTTTTATTATTCTCGATCACTAGCCTGTTCAAATTAATATTGTCAATGAAGGCATCTTTTTCGATTTGACTTAATGGACACGATGATATGGTCAACGTTTGCAGATGTGTCAAATTTTTGAAGGCATTCCTTTTTAATACTGTAATCAGATTATTGCTCAAGTTTAGCGTTCTCAATGTGGTCACATAGCTGAAAGATTCCGTCGGAACATTGGCCATTCGATTATTTTGTAGATCCAAATAATTCAAGTTGGACAAATGTATGAAAGCACGTGAATGTATGGCACTAATAGAACAGGAATCAATAATAAGTTCTTCCAACATTGCCAATGGAGAGAAGGCCATTTCAGGAATATGTGTGAACCTATTGCTGCTCAAATTTAATGCAACTAAACTTTGCAAATGATAAAAGGATTGTGTTGGAATATGCTTGAGCTGATTACCATGTAGATTAAGCCGTTTTAAATTGAGTAAACCAAAGAATGCCTCTTTGTTGATGTGTGTAATTTGATTAGATGACAAATCGAGCCATTCTAATTTGTTTAGGCTCATAAAAATACGGCTATATATTTCGATAGATGATTATGGCTTAAATCAAGTAAATATAATGATTCAAGACCATAGAATGATAGATTATTCAACTGTGTCAGATTATTTCCATTCAATAATAAAACTTTGAGCTTTTTTTGCATGATGAAACTTTTTTTACCGGTATCACCAATTTGATTATTTGATAGATCTAAATATTGCAATTCTTGATAGACAATAAACGATGAGTATATATTTTTGATACGATTTCCATGTAGATATAATTCTTTTAGCTGTGGATTTAACATTATAGGCACTAGATCTATTTGTGTTTCATTACAGAACACTAATAGTTTTACTTCATTGCATTTACAACGTGGTGGACAGAATGTAGCCAAAACAACATTTTTATCAATGGTCGATGTTAAAATCATGATGATCCATATAGTAAGTGCAACTAGATCACCAGGAAAGAACATGATTCGGAAGATTGATATGAATTAATTCCAATGTTGGCGATTATTTTTTAGTAATATTTTATTTTATTAGGAATTATGATGAAAAAATTGATAGCGATACTGATGATGATGATATTCATTGATGTTGGTGACAAAAGTTTAGGAATTATCTGAAAATTTCAAAAAAAAACGAAAAAAGAATTATTCATTTCATAGAAACATGACCGATTATAGTGAACATGATGAACATTTCGTAAATTCAAAGTTATGAATTCAAATTGTTTTTTTTTCATTCATTTGAATGATTGTTCGGGAAAATGGTTAGATTTACAGATTTGTTTTATCATTATTTTATCATTTTTTTTAGCCCACGCACACATGCATCACGCGCCATTTCAATTTAATTCTGATAAGTTTTTTTTGTGTTGTTGTTTCTTTCCAATGTTCCTGATGTGGATAATACTGGAATTCCTCAGCTCGATAACCACTAAATCGCCATTTGTTCATGTTGACGATGGTGGCCATGGTGTTTGTTTGGCGTTCATTCATGTGTATGTATGCATGTTTGTATACGCGTATATATCTGTATGTGTGTGTGTTTTGTTTGGTTAAGAAAACCGACCGTTAAATGGGCGAATCGGTCAGCTAGTCACGCTCGATTATTATTGAGAAACTATAGGAAAAAGTTTTTATGTGTGTGTGTGTGTGTGTTAACCAGATCTTGAATGACGAAAAAAAGAATTGGTCTACCACGTTAGATGCTTGGCCACACATATAAACACTGAGAAGAGATTGGCACAAATTCTTGCACATGATCTAATCTCCGTACATATCGGATCTCAGATATCTAAACAATTTTTTCATTTCATTACTTCTTCTTTCATCGTTTATATCATTTGAACAAAAAAAAAAAAATGGAGAATCATTAGATTTTATAGTATTCTATCACTATCCTTGCCTTGAATTTTATTTTTTTCACTGATTTCATTTAGTCGGTGTATTTCTTTTTTTATGGATCCTTAGTTGTTGAAAAGAATTTCTATTTTCCTTCGTGTATTATTGTGTGTGTGTGTGAAAAAAAAAAAATGCAACCAAACCAAGAAAGCAGAAAATGTGTAAAAAAAAGAATAACGGATGAATGGACATTGACCAACGACGACTACGACGACGACGACGACGAATTTAGCCAATTTTTATATCAACAAAAACGAATAAACGATGAACGATGACAGACAATAGCAGCTTCACTTCATTACATTTATTTATTTATTTTTTTTCCTCTTCGGTTAGAATCTTTGAAACAAAATAATAATAATAAAAAAATAGTCGAATGACTTGCTGAATTACTTTGAAAAAAGTGGTTATATATGAAAAAATTCTTTCTTTTCAATATATAATAGAAATTTTCACAATCTATTTTTTCTTTGAGTTGTGCCAATTTCTTTTTTTTTTTTTTTTTTTTGGTTTGGTATTCTTGTATGATGTAATTGAAACCAGTGGTGGCCATTTTTTTTCCTAGTTAGTTAATATTGATATTATTCTGTTTTTTTATTCCTATATGTGTGTGGTTGAATAAGATGAGTTTCGTGATATCAATAATGACGTTCCATCATCATCATCATCATCATCACAGTGTTAATGAAAATTCATTCATTCAGAATCATTGTAGATCCGTTATTATTATTATTAATGCTGAAATAGCAAACACGAGTCATAGATGTGATAGATGGATGGATAGATGGACGAGAAAAAATGCAACTTTTTTCTCTCGCCCAACAATAAAGTTTTTTTTTTTGTCTTGATCGCCATCGTGGTTGATACTAGCTAATTCTACTTAATCTCTAGTCAAACACACACAAACAAACATTCATAAAAAGTCATCAATAAAACTTGCTATAAAAGTAGCTGACTAGTTGACCGCTAACAAACCAACAGCCAACCAATCGACCAAGTTGATAAACTCACGAATTTTTTTTTGTTTTGTTTCTCGGTTAGATTTAGATCAAAATCAGTTTCAGGACAAAAAAAAAAAATTCTCATATTATTATTCTTGTTATTGTCCATTCGTTTGGTGAGTCACTTGGTAGTTATCGATCCACTATTATTATTATAATAACAAGAATTGTTTGACAAACAAAATTCTCTTTAATCATACATTCAGACAGATTAACAATGAAAAATTTCAAATTAAATAAAACAGCAAATATTAACATCACAATGGTACACTTGATAATTGTAATGTAACATTCATTTTCAAGCAAAATAATAAAAAAAATGAACAAATCATCAGACATTTTGGCTGTGATTTCTGTTTTGAATCAAGATATGTATGTATGTTGTTGTTCTTTTCGTTTTTTTTTTGCTCCAATTCAAATTGCTATTTGTTTGTTATGAGCATTATTGTATGGAATCAACAATGACAATTTCAATGTAGCTACTACAATCATTATGATTATCATCGTGATGATGATGATTGTCGCCGTTTTCGTTTCATGAACATAATCATCATATTGTAACAATCGACCCGATGACAGAAAAAAAACGCCAATAATGCAAATAACATATTATAGACGTGTGTGTGTGTGTGTTTGTATTCTGTCTGGAGCGAATATTCAACGAATTTTTTTTTCTTGAGATAGTATCCCCATTTGAACATCTATCACACACACACAGATAGACATAGTTGCTTTTCAGTATTTGAAAATAACAATTGTGCGACATGCTGTAGTGAAAATAACAGATGTTGAATCTGTCGAACTAAAACCAAAAAAAAAACCCAATTTCATAAAATAAAGTATAATGCACACACAAACAAACACACACAGAGAGAATAAATTGTGTGATGAAAGATATCTGTCCATAACTATAAGAAGAATAATGGATACAACAACAACAAACCAAAGAGAAAAATATATGAAAAAAAAATAAAAATAAAAAATAAGCATCCCTCAATGTTCCTTGTTTAGATCTATTCATCCATCCATCTATACAATCCGATTGAATTCGATCGAAATGGGGACATACAATTTTATACAGCCCATTTCAAGTTAGAATATTGTATTGGCATAATGATGTTGATGATGGTGATGATGATTCGTCTATCGAATATCGTCATCATCAACAACAACAAAGATTCACACATTCTAGATTCTTCACTTCTTTGTAGGCTTCACACAACATTTATATTCTAAATTCTATGAATCAGTCAGTTAGTCAGTCACAGAGAACGGTAAAATAAATTTGCTGTTGCAAATAAACGAAGAATAAGAAGTGAAAGCAAAAAAAACTTTCATTATCGAGAGAGAGAGAGAGGAAGTGTGAACGAAAACATAATAAATCGATTTTATCGGTTTAATAGTTTTTTTTCATTCATTCAAACATCTATTCTTTCAGAATTTTGGAACGTGAAAACAAAAAAAAAAGAAAGAAAGAAAGAGAAAACAAAAAAAAAAAGAAAAATTGTCTACATCAAGAGAAAAAAATGAGTTTAAAGTTCAATAGTTGGTTATATCGATGAAATTGTTGTTGTTGTTGTTGTTTTTTCTTTGGTATTTTAAACATTTTTTTTCTTTTTGCACAAAATTCTTTTTTTGTTGTTTCTCCGGTTATCGCTTGGGTGAAAATTATCTCGGGAAATGCGGTTCTTGTTAGTATTCAAGCATGTATATGTATTTGTCAATGAATGTCACATACGATTCTAACTGAGTGATAAAACAAACGGATTCACTGAATTCAAAATGGGTGTATAGTTGAATATCATTGAATTAATCAATAAATGAGCTGAATCTACTGGATTTTAGATGTCGGTTTTTTTTATTACTACTGCTTCATGTCAGAATGGTTGGTGTATTTTTGTTAAAAATCCATTTAATACTGAACACATAGATTCAATGTTTTAATTTTTTTTTTGTTTGATTTGCAGCTGTACATTATAAATTTGAAACTCTAAATTTCTTTCAAATTTTTTTTTGCATGGCTCTCTAAAAGCAACCGTAGTAGGACTATTATTCCATTCTTTATTTTTAATACCATTTGATTCATTGCACGCTAAATTAAACATTTAAACTTTGAAACCATTTAGTTTTGTTTAGTAAAGGGGCGTAAAAGTGAAGGTGGATCTTCATTCCACAATGATGATGATGATGATGATGATAAGTAAAAGTAAATTGCCAATAGAATAGAATTGAATGGAATATAAAATAAAATGAGAAAATTTTTGTGTATATTTTACAACTATTGAAAATCCTATAAATTCGTATACGAGATATACAATAATGGTATAAGGGTTCATTTTATTTTTTTTTTTCATTCCTATTTTTATGATGAGGTTAGAATTATTGTTGAATACAAGTAGCAGATAAAACAACGATGAAACAAAAAAGAATCAAAGAATTTTAGAATTGGAAATAAAACATGATATCAATTGTAATTGTAATAATGAGACTAATGATGTTCAGATTTTTCTATGTGTTTGTGTATATGTGTATGCGTGTGTCAAGAATTTAAGATCATTATACATTTTCAACAAAATCAATGATTATGGTGAATTTGAAAAAGAACAAAAATCACACAATGAGACAATTGTAATGAGAATTCATTTTCGTTTTTTTTATTCTCTAAATTTTATTCAATTCACAAACCCTTTCATTTTCAATAGAGATTGTGCGTGTGTGTCTGTCTGTGGGAGATGGCAGTGAAAACCGTCATAATCATCAAACGATTTAGAGAATAATAATCGATTGATCCTAAATTGAATTAAATTCAAATTCACTCATTTTGTAGAAAAAAAAGGAAATAGAATCCATTATAAATTGATTATTATACTTTTGAAACGTTTTTTCAAAATTGACAATAAAATCAAAATGAAAGAAAAAGTTGATCGTAAAAAAATTGAAATAGATGACAATGACATTTTACCTTTTTAGTTTGAATAAATTTTTATTTCATTATTCACCCAACACATGGCGGTTTGTATTCATCAAGATGACGCGAATTTTGAAAGTTGAATTTTTTCTTTCAGTCAAAATTTTATTGATTTTCAAGATGTATGGGAAAAATTCTAATTGTTGTTCATCAAAAAAAAATCATACACTTGATGATGATATGTACATGTTTTTTTTGTTGCACGAATGTTATGAAATTCTTCAATTCACCAAATAGAGAGAATCACATCAAAATAAACACATAGAATCAATGGAATATTTTCTTTTCAAAAAAAGTGACATCAATACACAAATTGGATATGAAGAAAATTTTCAAGTTGGTTTTTTGATTTGTTGTTACAAAGTTTGTTGTTTCAGTTGAAACTGGTCGCTGTAATTGTTTGTTGAGATTTAACGTTGCCCATCATTTTAGCATTTGAGAACGGTCCTCACCATAGGCTGACTCAATTTTGAATGAACGATTCGAATGGATGGAACATGCACATACATAATATCATAGACCGAAATAAAAACCGTTTTCAATTCGTCCGTTCCATTTTGGCTGAGAAATGGTCTATCCCGGGTATTATTTCTTTCCATACAAACACGCATGTACAGTTTCGAATGAAAATAAAAAATTTTCCTGTTCCATATATGGAATGAAAAGAATCAAAAAGGAAAAAAAAGAACAGACATAAAATCCTAATCAATACAGGAATCGTATAATTCATAGAAAAAAAAACAATATGAATACTGAATACTACTAGGTTAGATTGTTCCTTATCATCATCATCCATCCATACATACCATTCATTCGGGACCAATCAATTTTTTTCTAGATCAGATAGACATACATGAACAATAACTAGATAAATTTATGCATAGTCAACAGAAAGAATAAAACAAAATTATGAAATGTCCATGTGATCCGATAATTAAAAAAACAAATATTGGAACAACCAACCAACCAAACAACCAAACAACCAAATAAATGAAATTCTTGTTTGCTGTCTCATCATTATGTTATTGACCACAACAGATATATTGATATGTAAACGTGCATTTCTTTTATTTTAATATCGATGATCATATTAATAACATTTTAGCTTGTGTCGAATAAAATTCACAAGGATTCATTATTTGTCAAACCAAATATAGAAAAAAAAATCCAAACTTCTAATCCTTATCTAAGCATATTATTTCAAACTTTAGAAAAAAATTAATTGCAACTGACAAGATAAGCGAAATTTTTTCTCAAACTTGTATGGAATGAATGAAAGTTATTTTTTGTTGTTGTTTTTGTTTATTCATTTAAAAAATATACAATAACAGTATTTGGAATATTTACAAATAACAATTATTTTTTTTTTGATTTTGTTGAGATCAGAGATTTTTTTCCTGAATTGATGATGATGATGAAAATTTATGGTAAATAACCAATGAATAATAATAAGGCAGCATTTTTTTTTTGGAAATTTTTGCTGTTGATAGTCGTAATAATAATAATCGTTTATAATGTTGCCAATACACGACTAAATGAGAACAATGTTGTTGACATTGTCAATCCACATCCCCAAAACATCGCATATATTGGATACATAACAAAACTTGCTGTACGATAAACGCTTGCTATCACAGCGGATGTGATTGAATATGAAAATAAAGGTGTGATGATTGATGAAAGTAAAATTACTATAGGACTATAACGTGCAATCTTATGTCTTCTTAATGATGCAAATGCTATGGCCGATGCGATTAAATGGATTATGACTGAAGAAACTAGTGACCAGAGAAAAATGTAGTACCACATTGCTATCATCATAATTGAAAAAGAATAATTCAACATTAATGATCATTATCGATTAATAAAGAATATATGATTATTTACCTAAAAAAGTTTCAATCGGTTGATTTCCAAGTATGATAACATCCCAAAATGATCCCAATATTGATGTATCAAAATCTTTTGAATGACCAAGACCCATGGTTGTCAAAAACAGAATTAATTTACCTAATGATGTTTAGGATAATGTGTGTCCAAAATTTTTTGTTTTGAGCTTGGAACATATTTTCAGAATTATAGTATCGATACTATCGATAGTTGATGAGAGTTCGGCGGCTTTTTCAAAATGAAATGTTATATTGCCTAACAATCGACATGGTCAGATTGCCTAATCATATTCAATATGTATGAATCATCGATCGGTAATCCAGCGTATCCAATGGATTTAAACCTTTTTTCATTCTGGCCAAATAACTTTCGATTTTCCTCACTTAACAATGGACATATATTATGATGGAAAGCAATCATTTATGTTGAATGGTGGAAATTATTTGATTAGCTTTGTAGTTAACTATTGATCGCTGTATATTTGTAATCCAATTGGCTTAACTTAATATGGAATGCTGTCAGGCAACTGTGATATAGGGTGATTATGATGTAATCATCAAAATTTATCGTAGTAAAATCAATGTGTCATATATATATTATATGATGATCAAGGAATATTTGTAACCAGAAAAAAATCGAAAAAATGTCGTTGCCATCTTGACAACGTTGATTGTTGTTTGTTATATATAAAAAAAACAAAACAAAAACCACATCCTATTTAAACAGGAAATGAACACGAGTACACAGACAAATACGGCAATGGAAAAACCAATTAAATGATTGATTGGATAGATTTATTGAGAAAAAAAAACATTCTAAATGACATTGAATCCCAGCATGTTCCATGGTTGTTAATCCAATATTTTAAAAGATTTGCAATAATTGTGAATTCGTGTTGAAGTTGTTACGAATTATTATTTTGAATTGTAAACATTAAACAAAAATTATTTGGAAATTCAATGATGTTGATGATGATGATGAGATTAATCATTTCCTCTATGATTGATTTGATTGTTTTGTTCGATATTGGTGGTATAAACACAATCAAATGATTGTATTCAAGTATTCGTTCCGTTTCGTGTCATACAATTTCATTTTTTTTTGTTATTGTTATTGTTTGTGTTTGTCATTGCTTGCAAAAGTTTTGTTTGGTTGCCTAATTAGTGTGTTGGACGTGTGTATCTCATACATTCGATCTCAATTCGTTTATTTTATTTTTTTTTTGCTATCAAACATTTTGTCGTTTTGATTGGAAATTTTAAATTTTCACCTGTGCCATAATTTATTTGTATCATAGGTCAGAGATCTATAAATGTGTGTTTTTTTGTGTGTGTGTGTGGGGCAGGGAAGGAAATTCGAACATTTCAAAAAAAAATTATATCAAACAAAAAGAAGGCAGAAAAATTGACCTATCTTGTTTAGGATGTTATCATCATCATCATCATCATCATTTGAATCACCAGTCGCGATTTGTAACTCAAATGTGTTTGTGGGAAAAACGAAGGAAGTGAGTGGAAAATAATAAAAAAAAATTACCTCCTCCTACTACTATTTCCAATACACCTTTTCAATTAAAATTTATTTTTGTTATTATTCAGTCCAAATTATTCGTCACACACATGCATAGGATAAATGAGGTGAAATCATGAAGCCATGACATTCATATATATATTCGAATCATTTATTATTGTTGTACATAAATTTTTTTTTCATCATCATCATCATCATTGCTATAGTGGTTCGCGGCATACATGTATCTTTCTTACTGTGTGTGTGTGTGTGTGTGTGTGTATGCATGGTCACCATGAATGGTATCTGAATAAATGTATGTATTGCGAGGGAGGGAGAGAGATAGAGAAAAAAAAATTCATAGTTTCAGTAATACAGAAGAAAAAAAAATTCATAGCAATAGTGGTGAATCGACCGAACACCGAATGAACCGACACAACCAAGACAACAAACAAACAAACAAACAAAACAAAACAACAGAACAAGATTGACGACGAAGATGACGACGACGACGACGACGATGATGATGATGATTGTCATGGCAAAACACCTGTACAATAATAACAGCCATTCATTCGTATCGTAGATTCTATCGTTGACGAATATTGTTTTTTTTCAAAAATTGAATGAATGAAAGCCATATTTTTCCTTATGCACATAACATAACGTTATTGGTCAGCAGCAACAACAGCAACGATGATGATGATGGCGATTATCATCTAAAAACTTAAGACCGCCTTCATATTTTTTATGTTTTTGTTTTCCTTTCTTGATTTTTTTTCTCCAACTCTAACAATTTGATTGTGTCGCAAAAACTAAAAAATAGTGACGACTACGACAATGATATTCACATTTTCACTTCCAGGTTTTTAATATTGGTTGGTTATTGTGGTTAGATTCAGTTTTTTCTTCTTACTTCTTTGACCTATGTCCGTTTACCGTGTGTGTATGTATAGATGGTATCAAATGCAAAGGTGAGAGAATGTCATTTATATTTTTTTTTTTATTACAATGAATGGATTGTATATGTATGTAAAATTTCTATATTTTTGACCTTGTATACCTCACGTGTGTAGTTCATGATTTGTATAATCGTGATCGATTGAAACAAGATTGAACTGGACCTAGGTAAAACAAGAAAAAAATAAACTTCAAAGACCAGTCTTTCATCCAGAAAAAAACGTTTATATTTCGTTCATGAGAAAACTTTGTTTTGTTTGTTTGTTTGTTTGTTTGTTTATCTTCATTTCATTTGCATTTCTTTTTTACTTGTTTTCGGTTTATTCAAATGTGTGTGTGTGTGTGTGTGTCTTATGAATTTAAAGTTTCTCTTATGAAACATTGGCTTCATTTTATAATCATCATCAAAGGTCATAAATGTGCAGATGATAATTTCAAGATTAATGAGCTTAAAATCATTTTATCCCGAAAAAAAAGTAATTTTTGATTTGGAAATCGCCATATAATCAATGATATCTTCCACAAACTTGTTTATGTGTTGATGTGCCATTCGTAATTAAATGAATGGAATTGAATTAAAAAAATTTTCGTAATGAAATCATCAAAATTTCTAATCACGATTAAATGAAAAAAACAGACAATCAAGTGAACCGCCAAAAAAAAAAAAAAAAATGAAATTTGAATAAATGAAAAATTTCATTTTCTCATCAAATTATCATCGTATTAAATACCATCATATATAAAACACACACACACGCAAATTATCGAATGGCAATCGTATGATTTTGAAGAATGATTAAAATAAATTTTTATCCACACGCATCCAATCATTATACAAAATATAAACAAAATTCCGAAAAACATCCATACACAATTGGCAAACAATCCATGAACATTCATCACTTTATTCATCGATTTTTTTTTTAAAATAAATATCTATATATTTCATTTCGATTGATAATAAAAGTCATAGTGTGATATAAATTTTCAATACACACACACACACACAAACATTCCAAATGAAAACTAAATTCCATATTTCATTCTGATTCTTGCCAATCATCATCATCATCATCATCATCATTAGACTGCCAACCAGCCAGACCGACCAACTAAACAATTTAAAATTGTTCAAATCCAGTGATCCAGATCCACAGATATATAAATCCATGGAGTATTGCATCCATTGTTGATTGATGCAATTAAAATTATGGTTGCCTTATTATTTTTTTCCATTATAATTTGATATATTTTACTTTCGATCTAAATTTAGTCGGATTATTATCACACATCCACATCAAAAACTAATGCAATTGTTTTTAATATATCATTCTTATTATTGTGTTATTATATTATTGTTACTATTATTAATAAGTAATTCTAATTCTATTGGACAGAAAATATGGATCATCATAGCAGAAAAAAAATTGTAACATCATGATCAATGGATTATAACGTGTCGATCATCAAAAATAAAAATTTTCCACTACATCTTATATTTATGATGATGATATTATTCTTAAGACTAATAATATATGCCCAGTCATCATCATCATCATCATCATGATCGTCTGAAAGCCAAAAATAAAAAGAAAATTCAAGTCATATATTGTGCCTGTGTGTTTTCTGTGTGTGTGTTTGTGTGTTAATATTTTTCATGCTGTCCATCGTGGAATCCTGCTGATTTCTTCATCTTTTTTTTCTCTTCATACTACATTAAAATTGATTCCAATGTATTCTATTTGCATGTTTGTTTGTCATTGCAGAAAAAATCTTTAGCCCGTGGTGGACAACAACAGAAAAAAAATATAATGAAGAAACAAATGCCCAATGTGATCATCATAATGACGATGAAACGAAAATTTTTCTACTGCCTGTCAATGACATGTTTGTTGATATTGAATTTCAAATTATTATTATTATTTGAACATGATCAAATTGTTTGGGCCAGTCCAGTGTTGGTCAATGATAATCATAATAACAATAATAATAACCAAACAATACAGGTTCAGCTATTTAAATATAACGAACGACCACTAGGATCAATGAATGATCATCATATTGGTCAAAGCCGGTCCAATAATGACGAAGAAACGACAACAATTTTGCCATATTTTTTCCAACATTCATCGATTTTAGGGCCATCATCATCATCATTAAATATTACGAATAATTCAACATATTATCGATCGAATTCTGATTCAGATGACAATAACCATCCATCTCAACCGCGAACAGATTTATATACGATTGAATTAACATCTCCATCAGTATCACAACATCATCATCAACTACAGCACCATTCAAGACAGGCTAAACTTGATGATAATATTGTTTTCAATTATAAATGTCCTAAACAACATTTTATTCATCCATGCGATTGTCTCGGTATGTGTGTTTGGCGGTCATATTGATGGTTGTGGATGAATCATCCAATCTCACACGGTTTTCTTGTTTTTTTTTCTCTATTCATCTTGCTCATTATTATTATTATCAACATAGAACTTGACAAACGAGCTGAAATGTATGATGATGGCAGTGGTGATAGCGGCGCCGACGATATTACCGTGAATGGAACACCGACATTCGAAATGATCGAAGAGGATCCCATCCATCCTGATCTAATCGAAACAGTCGTTCTTTGTAAAAATATACGAAATGCTCAAGTACTTACCGAAGCGATTCGTGGTTTTCAAGGTAAAAAAAAAAGATGAATAGATTTTTTTTCTTCATGTCAGTTTAAAAATCGATTAACCAAATTTTTTTTCCCTACAAAAATTATCAAAAAAAAAAAAAAAAACAATAGGACATCGAGTGAATTTTATGGTTCTTGATGGATGTAAACTACCTCCTTTTCCTAACAAGTAAGTTTTTTTTCGAAATTATAAAACTCATAATAAAAGTATAACTTTCTAATAATGATGATCATGACGATGACGGTGGTGATGGTGATTCGAATTCATTCCACAACAGACATTGATCGATGAATTGATGTGTTTGTTTTAAGAATGAATTTCATTTACCAAAAAAAAAAAAAACATTTGCTTCATTCAAGTTAGCTAAATGGACTAATTGCTATAATCTTGAAGGCAAACATCCAAAAATGGATAGGCATTTCATTATTCTTTTCATTATGGAAAAAAATCAATCCTTTCTAATTTATTTTTATTTTCATTTTATTTTTTTCCTCATTACTTACAGTCTTTTCAAGGGTATTCACATTGTTTGGATGGAAATTCTTAATTCAACCATGCAATTTCATGACAATTTTTTTCAAAACACCAGACATTGTCCGTGAAAACAAAGCGCCCATCAAATCTATAATGATTTGGATTGGATCTGTAAAACAAAGTTTATAAAGTTGTTTTGTAAATAAATTAACAAACACAAAAAATTGTGGGATACAAATTGGACCATTTGCCCGGGGATTGAATGATTTTGATTAATGTGAAAACCAAAAAAAAAAACATGGCAACATTTTCACATGTTTGAAATTTTTTTTTTATTTGTTTTTATTTTATTTTATTATTATTTTGTATTATCATTTTATTTATCAATTATTTTTTTTTTTGATCTATTTATCAATCATCGTAATTATCTTTACGGGAAAATTTTCCCTTATTAATTAAACACATTTAATTTATTAATAACCATTTGATCGTCATTAGTGGCATTTTCAACGGAAACTTGAGAAAATTGCTTTTAAATAGTAACGAATAGTGAAAAAAAATTACAACTAAAGATTCATATTCCGCTGTTCATTTGTGAAATCCACGGTGAAAAAAAATGATAAGAACCGTTTTATAAATGATGTGTTTTCTTTTTTTTCCTCTCAATCGACTGGAACCAATTATTTCTTTTGTGTAAAGAAGCAAAAAAAAGATGCATGCATGCATATAACGATTTGGCTGTCAACTGATGTGATCATTATCATCATCAAAAACATCATTGATGTTAAAATTTATTCACACACACACACAAAACACAGTACCATCAAGAATTATTAGGACGCCCAATCAACACCAGACGTTTTTCAATCCATTTTAGATTTCTTTTCATTTCTATTTTGATCAGGTAAATGAAGCGATGATTCATGATGGTATGATATCATCATCATCATCATCATCCACACACACCCGATAATGATCCAAGGATGGTCGTTATAGTATAGTTTATGCAATGGTCATACCTTTTTTTATATGAGATCGTTATATTTTTCTTTTAGGATAAGTGTAGGTCATTGACCAAATGTGAATGAAACACAGCAGCTAAAAAGGGACAATTATTCGAAGGGTTTATTCATTCATTCATTCATTTATTTTCAGTTTTTTTTCAATTCTGCTTCATAGTAATATGTGGGTTCTGTAATCACAATTCTTTCAATTTTTCTGTTTTATATATAATATAATAATATAATGGTCATCATCATAGAGATGAATCATTGAATACTCAAAAATTTGAGAAAAATGAATAAAAATGAGCAAAAAAAAAAAGAAAACCGGGCTGATTTAATGTAATTAAAGTATTAATGTAATATTAATTAGTTTGTTTTTTGCTTTCATTTTGTGTTTGTTTTTTGTTGTTTGTTGATACATTCAACATTACAATAGCTACCACATACACACACACACACGCACACACAGTTGATCGGATAAAGAATTAGAAAGTGGAGAAAAAAAATCTTGTCAAGAATTTTTTTTAAGGTCTGTGTGTATACATAGAAAAACAAGAACAACATGTATCAATTGATCGAAAGATGAAGAAAAAAATCCAGAAAAATAGGGCGAAAATTGTCCGTTTTTTACGATGTAGTAATAATGATTAGAGCAAAATAAAAAAAAAATTATCCAAAAAACGGAAAAAATATTCAGGAATATATTATGACGAAGTGATATACAATATGAAAAAAAAAGAACGAAAAATAAAATAAATTGACAAAATTCAATTCAATGGTATTAAATGCATAATTTTCCTACAAAATCTAAATCAATATGTATGTACGTTTGTTTTAAAGATGTGTAATTGAATGTAAATTTTCGTCTGTTTGTTTGTTTGTTTGTTTATGTTTCCATAATCAATTAATTAAAATTAATAAAAAAAAAATCATCATTACAATATATTAATTGAATTAAATGAAAAAAAAATAATTTTGTTTGTTTGTTTTGTCATCAGATAAACATAAATGAATAAAGTATCTATAACCAAATAAATGTAAACGGATGGAACCGGATGTGGGAGAGCTCAAGAGATGAAAAAAACCGTACGTAAAAAATATAAAATCTTCGAATGATTTAAAATTAAAAAAAAACAAACGATAAGATGGATAGATGATAAAAGAGAGAGAAAGAGAGAATAGAAACAAATTTCATCTTGAAAAAACACCAGAATAATAAAGTAAACAATGAATGCCATTCAATGCAAGCAAATGATTTACATTATCTCAATTTAAAAATTAATAAAAAAAGGCAAAAAAATTTAAAAACGAAAAAAAATTGTTTGTGTGTGTGTGTGTATGTGTGAAAATGATCTAAATATTGAATAGATTTCGTATGCTCTGAAAAAAAATTTTCTTAAATTAATTCAATAAACTGAAAACTCGAGAGCATTCAAATGAAGCCAACAAAATGTTTGTATGTTGTAACCTTGTGAATGATCAGAAAACGATATTGTATAGGGTATTGAACAACAAGGATGAACAAATTGATTTGATGAAATTAATTCGAAAATTGAATCAAAGTTTAGCTTGCTTTTCTGATGGTACAACAACAAGTAATTTTTGAAGGAATAGGGTTGAATTATCTATAGAATTGAAAAAAAATTTGATAATTAGAAAAATAATCAGTAGATAATAACAAGAGAAAATTTACCGAAAATTGCCTGTAAGAATCGTGGTTTATTTTTCCAAGCAATGAATATAACGTATACTGGAACGCCAGTCAAAATGATTAGAGCTCCAGTAAGAGTTCCTTTTGGATCAGCAATCATCGGTACAATGGTTATGAATATTGAGGCCAATATATAGATTGTTGGCCAAATTAAATTGACACGAATTGGACGATGTAAATCCGGTCTTTTCCATCGAAGATATGGAAGACAAGCTACACCAAGACCGATGGCTAACCAAGTTGCAAAACCAACATAATTGATCAATGCATAGATATCTTTTGATGCTAAATAAATCAATGACAATAAACACATGCCAATGACAGCTGGTGTCGGGGTCAAATGATTCACTTGAATCATGGCCAATATTTCAGGCATTTGTTTTTGTTCTGCACCGGCGAAAAATAATCTATAATAGAAACAAGTTGAAAATGATTATAAAAAAAAAAAAAAAAAATACAAAATATGTACTGACCTCGATGAAGTAAACAAAATGCCATTCACACCTCCAAATGTAGACATGGCGACAAAGACCGGAACAATCCAAGCCATCCATCCATATAAACGTTCGGCAAATGTCTTATCAAAGAAATTAAAAACATGAGCACATTATAAACAACAATATCAGCGAAAAAATGATGATAATGATAATAATGTAAAAATAGCTTACAACTGCGACAGCTTCAGCAGATAAAACATCGGCAACGCTCAATGTTGAATGAAAAGCAATGATGGTCATTGTGTAAACAATTGTGACAAGCGAACATGATATGAAGATGGCGAGGGGAAGATTTCTGATTTAAAAAAATGAAAATTGCGAATTACAGAAAAAAAATACATTCGATTTCCAATATATTTTCATACTTATGAGGATCTTTTAATTCTTCAATGACAAAATTCAAATAATTCCTGTGAAAAAAAAGAATATGAAAATGAAATGAATATTGGAATTATAAAAAAGGTACATACCATCCATTGTAAGCAAACAAGCCGGAATAAAATGATAATGCTATTGTGGATATATCCACATTTTCAACTAAAGGATCTTGTTTAAATGTAAAATATTCAACGTTTCCTGTTGTATAAAAATGATGAATGAATTGATGATTAATCGATTTAGTTAATCACATAAATCATAATCGAACAAACAAACAAACCTTTGAATAATTGAACGATGCCAGTAATAATGATGGTACAAAGGGCCAATAATTTTCCATATGTGAAAAAATCCTGTACTCTTGTCGACCATTTAACATCCCAACAATTTACAAATGTAAGCAGACCTATATATTCGTGTACAGGAAAAAAAATCAACGGAAATGAAAATTTATTATTTATGTCTTCATATGCTAAAAAAAATATTTGTTATGTTGAATAATAATTGTCTAAATTGATAAATCCATACATATACAAACTATAGCCAATAGTCTGATTGCAAAACCGGGTGGATCACAATCCGGATAGAATGGACGTAATGTATAGAATGAAAATGCCAATGCAATAATGGCCGTATTACATGGTCTTACAATCATACATTCGATCCATAATCTTAGGAAAGCAATAAATGGTCCAAAACATTCCATTATATATGTATAATCGGCACCAGTTTTAGTTATCATCGTACCCAATTCAGCATAACAATAAGAACCAATTAGAGAGAATATTCCACTACTAAGCCAAACAATAATGGCCATATTAACACTACCGGTACCGGAAAGTACACCTTTAGGTGAAATAAATATTCCTGAACCAATCATACAGCCAATGATTACATTGATTCCATTCATAAGGCCCATTTTAGGTTTCAAACATATAGCATCATCATTAACATTGTTGCTTTTTTGTTGTTTATCATTCTTAGTTGATTTATCCATTCTGTCGAACGAAAAATTTGTTGTTGAAATTCCAACGAATTGAAATGATAATTTGTTTTCAATCAACACCTGCTCACACACATACACAGCAACAATTAATGATGTTTTGGATTTTATTTCACTTGGAAACCAAGAGGATAATTCAAGTGAACACACGTTTAATTGATTCTATCTAATTGACATTATTTAGTCATAAAACAAAAAATATCACAAAACAAGATATGAAATGTAAAATGTTCACTGATTTTATAAAAAAAAATATTCAAAATAATTTTCTATCTGACGAAAGATCTAGATTGAATAGATTTAATCAGTGGAAATAATACGAATGTTGAAGAATTTGGAATGATGACAAAAATGTTTTTTTTTGTTTCGAAGTAAAATTTAGCCAAATATAGAGACCCTTGACTAAACAGAGCATCACTTTGTTATATAATCAGTACCGGTGACAGGATGATTGTGGAGCTTTGGCATCATTCGGATAAAGATTTATCCACAATGTGACAAACTACGACAATGATATACATGCCTCAACAAAATTTTTGCATTTTGTTCACTGATAGGTTTTGTGAGAAAAATGTGCTTTTCACATCATGATATTCATCATCATCCTCATCCCTATCCCCATTCCCGCTTTTACTCATTCATTCACACAAAATCAAAAGACAAAATGCCAAAGTACAGTGCCAAGTAGAAGAGGAAAGAAACAAAAAAAAAACAAAATAATATCCAATTGCTTTCAAATCGGCTAGCAGTTCATTGGCAAATGATGATTATGATGGGGTGGTCTGGGAGGGGTGTTCTTTTTAGAAACAAAGAAAATCAAGATTTTTTCTTCTTGTTCTTCATTTCTGAATATAATAATCATAAAGTTGTGGTTGGTCTGGCCATCTTGGTTGGTTTCAGTTGATTTAGTTTGTTGTCAACCTAACAAACTATTCGCCAACCAACCAACCAACAACCACCTGATTATACTGGCTTATTATATAATGACATTCATTCATTGTGATTTGTGTATGTGTGTGTGTGTGAGTGTGTGATATCGAATGCGACAAAGAGAGCGACTAAGAAACAGAAAGAAATACATAAAAGAGAATAAAGAACGGCGTGAAATGTAGGAAAAAAAATAAAATATTTTATCCCATGAACATGGATGAACATAAATTTTTTGTACTATACATGAATATACATGCAAACAACATCATTGTATGATCATATAATCATTCTATATTATGGATTGTTGTTGTTGTTGTTGTTTTGGAATCAGAAGCGCTAAGCACGATTTTTATATATGGTAAAAAACCTCTCTTTAATAATAATAATGATGATGATAATGATGATGATGATGAAGATTAAAATTTTGTATGTAGTTGCCGACAACGACAACGACGGTGACAAATCTGTTTGTCGTGTAATATTTTTTTTTTTTTTTGGAAAATTTTCTTCATCTTTTTTCTTTTACCATCTATTCAATTATCGAATAAAATATAAAATGTGTAATAACAGGATTTTTTCCATACGTTTTTTATTCTCATTCTCTCTCTCTCTCTTCATTATATGTTTAATTTAGGTTAATGATAAATCATCATTCATCATGATGATCATTATTTCATTAATGTCATCGAAAAAATTATTCTTTTTTTTCTGTTTTCAGTTTATCGTCGACAAACTATTAGATAGGAATTTAACGATGTCACTGTCGTATAATATTATATGAAGATTTGATATGGATTTTTTCCATTTAAATCTGTATATTATAACATTAACTGGTGAAAATTAGCCTTGAAAAAAAGAATTTCGATTTTTTTTAAATTTCTATAACACACACACATACACGCAGATATTAGACAGTGATTCTAGCATCGTCATCATCGTTGATTATTATCTCAAGGTAGAAGAAAAACCTGATGATATCATTTCCATCATCATCATGAGTACAAACCTGATCATTTTTTAAATGGTATTTCATGTATATAAATTGAAAAAAAATAACTTTCCATATTAGATTCAATGCCATATTGATTCGAAAAAAAGTAGCAAAATAAAAAATGTTAAAATTGTCAATATTTAAACCAGTTCCCATGTGTGTGTCTGGAGGTTTGGATGATAATGAATGGAAATTTAAAAAAAAAATTTCATTGTTACGCCCATCCATTTGATACTTGTTTTTTTTCGATCTTATTTTTTGTTATTATTTTCACTTGCACGAATAGGAATAAAAATCATAAATCATCATCATCATCATCATCATTGGAACACACCATTCATTAACCATCATTCATCATCAAAGAATCAACGACCTGACATTTCATCAAAAGAGGGCAAAGAAAAAAAAATAGAAACAACAATGTATGCACCCATGACATAGGTCAAAAATTCATTTGCATTCATCCGTATAACAGAGGATTAATGTTTTTTTCAAATGCCAAATAGAAAAACAAATTTCATTTCATTATTTGAAAATCATCAATGAATGAATGACTATGGTTGATGAGTACAATTTATTCTTTTCTAAAGACACATAATATTATCACCATCATCAATGAATTGAATACAAAAAAAGAGAGAAATTCATTCAACTTTTTCATTTCTCTCTCTCACACACACTCACTTATTCGTAGTCATTTGTTATAAATGAATATTTATATACAAATAGACTAGAATCCTAAATGGGAAAAAAATAATAAACTTGATAAACAACAAGACAACAAACAACCCAAACGAAACCAAAAAAAAAAAAAAACGAAAAATGTCGCCAGGGTGGAGAAGCAAATAAACAATTTTTTCTTTCCTAGACACAATGAAATAATTGATGCAACAATCTTGTGACTAGTACACACACACACGAACACACATATAGACATTCGCATCGTTGATTACATCAGCCATTCATGTGATTCATTCATACATTCTAAAACGAAATAAAAAAAAAATGAAGGCGCCAATGATGAGATCATCATCATCAACAACAATAATAACAAACAAAAAAAAAAAAAATCAGTATGAAATTAAGTTTTTATAAACTAAATAATGGTTTGAATATACAATTTCATTATTCAACAATTTAGTAGATTAATAAAATATATATACAACAACAACAAAAACACATACAAACAAGATGGAATGATGTAAGCGGAAATTTTTTTTTTCTATCCATAAACCAATTTTAACAAATTCACTTTAGTTTAATTTATTATAAAGGCAACAAATGAAATGAAAAAAAAAATCAAACGGTTGATGCGACATCGATGATTTATGTGTGTGTGTGTGTTTGTACATCCGGTGTTTCTCATATAGGAGACTAATAATGAAACATTATTAAGATGATGATGATGATGCGGAATGTGAAACAAGATAAAAAACAAAAAAAAAGTTGCACATAGATTAATCGGAAATTTTTTTTTCAAAATATTTTATTATGGCGCCAATTTTTTTTTGTTTCCTTGATAAAAATCATCTCTAAACTAATATACTACTATACTGCTTTCTCAGCTTTTCAACAATCGCTGTATTTGTGTGTGTGTGTGTATGTATATATCTTGCTTACTTTTCGAATCGATTTCTCATCGCCATGTCTGGTTACTATTTGTCTATTTTCGGGTATATGATGAGTGTGTGTATATTTTGTCTCCATTACATATATGGATATATCTATGGATGCATAGACACACACACACACATACACAAAAAAATGAAATATCAAGAAAAAAAACAGAACACCGGAAAATGACATGATTATCAAATGACAACAAATTTATCGGACATCAAACATCATCATATTATTGCTTAGTAGTAGAAATAATAATAATGTCCTCTATTACACGTGAATAATAACCAGAAAAAAATATGAATATATCAAATCATGTATTACAACCATTAAAATGATGAGGGCGTTTTCAAAAATTTTTTTTTTCTCAAATGAAAAATCAAAAATATATTTGTTGAAACAAACAAACAAAAAATTTTCACTTACCAATACAAATACAGGCCAAATAACGGACAGCATCGGCTGGTGGATCGCAATCAGGAAATATTGGACGTAAAACATAGAATGAAAATGTCAATGCAACAATTGCCTGTGAACAAGGTCTAACAATCATGCCTATTTAAAAAACAATGACGTGGACGGTTTATAAATTAAAAAAAAGACGATGATAAATTAATTTTTTTTTTGTTTTATGGAAAAAAAAATTAACAATTTAAATGATTAGACAATTTTTTTTTATAAACACACAAACACACACACACATACATTCAATCCAAAGACGAAGAAATGCAACGAATGGCCCAAATGATTCCATGATGTAGGCATAATCGGCGCCAGTTTTTGTAATCATACATCCTAATTCAGCATAACAATACTGTGTGTGTGAAAAGAAAAAGAAATTTGAAATGTTCATTGTTATCCAAAATATTAGATAATAATTTTGCAAAAAAAAACTTACTGCACCAATTGTGGAAAATAAACCACTAATAATCCAGACAACCAATGATAAACCAACACTTCCGGTGTTTTCTAATACACCTTTTGGTGATACAAATATACCAGAACCAATGATACTACCAACAATGACAGTAATACCATTCAATAGATTCATTTTAGGTTTTAAACAAATAACATCATCATTTGCTGCCGTCGGTGCTGCTGTAGTAGCTTGACCATCCGATTCATCATTTGATGGTGATTTATTATTAACTGGTGTTGTCATTTCAACATCACGATTCTGTTGTGGCACTATTGAATAATTGTCTGCCATTTTTCTTTGTTTATTTTTCAATGTTGTAATAGAAAATTTATAACTATTTAATTGAAAAATAGCAAATTTTTTCTGTTTGTGTAAAAACAAATGAATAAATCAATAGATGTTAAATGGTATTTACATGAAATATTATATCCAAATGATCGAAAAGCTATTGAATGACAATATGATGATGATGATGATGATGATTGATTCACGATTGATGGTGATGATTTTTAATGGTTTGAGAGTGAGAAAATGTGACAACCGGAGCCGGCTTCCAAATGAATGAATTTTAGTTTGTATATGTGTTGGCTTTAACTTGAATTCAAATGACGTCTATGATGATGATGATAATTGCGCACACCACACTTGTATAGTAGAGATAATAATTTGAAATAATGAAGAAAAATCTTTCAAATCAAATCGGTCGAATTCAAATGACATTGATTAAATCATCATTATCAATGGAAAAGAAGAAGAAAAAATCGTACCAATGATAAACATTCGAGTTCGAATGATTATATAATGGCAAATGAGAGCGAACAAAAAAATCACATCAGATCGTTTTTCTGTTATACGATATAAAATTTCTATATTTATATGTAAAACATATAAAGGTGGGTGGAAACGGAATGTGAAAATAATGTTTCGTCATTCACTGTTGTCATATCCAAAAATATACAAATGTTTGACAAATAAAGGCGGCAACATTGTAGGTAGAGATAGTAGGAGAAACAAAAAAAACAAAGCAAAAAAAAATGAAATTTGAAATTAATGAATGAAATCACCACGTGGTTTTTTGTGACACTTTCAATGAATGGTTAAATGTTTTGAATTGAAAGATTCTAATTACATAAACAAATGTGTTTGGTATGAATTATTTCAAACCATATGTGAAACAAAAACAGGACACATACAATACTAACATTCACAAATACAAATGACCAAAAAAAAAGAATGAAAAATAAAAAATTTGATCCACTAAGGATATATTTTTATATTTCAAAAAAAAACAAAACCATAATAACAAAGGAAAAAAAATTCTGTATTTTCTGATCATAGTCGTCGTTATTCTTTGTTATTATATTGGTCGTTTTAAATGTCTGATGAAATATATCGATTGTCTTGATGCAGCTAGTTTATTATTATTATCATCATCAAATTGTTTTTTTTAGATATATATAGAACATGGTATAAGCAAACACAAACACTGGCATATATTTATATTTATATTTATATAGAATAGATATATCCGAAATGAAATAATCGACGGACGAACAAGAACGAAACAAAAAAATGCGGATGAACTTTTTTTTTATATATTCAATTCTGAATTCATTCACATGCTACTTTGAACTTTCAATAACAAACACACATGAAATGTGAGCGTATGTGTGTGTGCGTGTTATGTTCATTTTTTCATTTAATTTTTTTTTCTTCACTTCATTCAGTTGTTTTCATAGAACATCATCATAGAAAAAAATTACAAACGCATACACAATACATACAAGAAAACGATTCATGGATTCACTTGCTCTAGTTATCGGATATACCCCAAACAACAACAGCAGCAGCAGCAGCAGCAATGGTTGAGATCAGACTCGTGGTTGTATTTAATGTCGATGTGTGTATATATTATATATAAATGTTTTGGTAAGCTTAATATGGCCTGCGTGTTATATTCTTTTCAAAGACAGCAGAAGAAGAAGAAGAAGAACAAGTAGGAAAAAAAACGGAGGGATAAACAGGCCGAAATACCGTATATGCCACGATGGTCACGATTCGGTTCAGTTTTTCATTTCTTGATGGTGGTTATAATTGTCATTACGACGACGATGATGATGATGATGATTCGGTGCTGTCTAAACTTTTTTTTTTACATATATGTTATATATATTGTTGCATCGACGGCGACATTCATTCGAAGAACGGATAGCAAAAAATTTGATTTTGAAATATAATCATGTGGTGTTGTAGCATTTTATTATACACATTTGGCAAGTGGTTCAACACTGAACGGATCGAATGCCGAAACCAACGAAAAAAAGCAAAAGAAACTAACCAAGTAAGCTAGAATCACGCATGTAACTTTTCTCTCTTCTCTCTCTCTCTTTTTCTTCTTTCAAAAAAAGATGTCGAGGATCATATATCCGACAATGATGATGATGTTTTGAGTATGTGTGTATATGTTTTTTAATGTAACAACGATCATATTTTATACGTACCGAACAACGAAACTTGTATCGAAGCCTGTATGTCTGTAACTTCGATATATGATTACGTTGACGATGATGATGATGGTGGTAGTTTTTTGGGTAGTTGAATTTTATATTGGTTAGAGAGATGATTTCACGAGCTACAGCATACCATACATGAATACATTAAATTAGTAGAAACACGTTGTACCACTATGGCGGGATTTTATAATTTGTCTATTGAATTGAATGACGAATAATGTCTATTATATCCATGATAACTAAATGAAAATGGATGAGAAAAAGATGGTGATGGTATAATTATAACATGGTTATTATATACTATAGCTAATGGACATAGCGCGCAGCATGACTGAATATTTTTCATTTTTTTCTTTCGCTCAGTTGGGCTTCACCAATTTATTCGCTTACATTTTTGAATCATGATCAAAGATTTTGGTTTGAGTCGAATCTAATGGTTTTTAGGTTTTTTTTTCACTTCGTTTTTGTTTTGCTTACTGACCGGTATTCGAATGAAAATATAGCCACGTTATCGTAACTATATAAATATAAATGAATGATGACATTCGTATACATCGATGAGATAATGATCTTGTGATTTTAGGAAAACCAAAAAAAAACTAGATCAATGAATTTAGGACGCTTGCGCAATTTTTTTTTTTTTGTAAAAAAGAGATATCGTTTATTAATCAATTTAAAATTTGATCTACAAAAAAAACCAGAAACAATTTATATTTATCGTCTCGTTTTTTTTAAATCATTAGCCCAATCCAGTATTTATTCGGTTTCTTAACACAATTCATTGTCACGCCCTTATGAAACATCAACATGGATATAATTCGGGCATATTTTCATTAAATATTCGTATTATAAAAACACTATATATTGTCCAAAATTTAATTTAGTTCATATTGATTTTCTATATCTCACTTATCATCTTTGTGAAACAAAATAGCATCGTGCATCGAACCATATCTATAGATAGAAAAAAAATTGGACAATTAATTTTGACAATTCTTGTGGCCAACACAATTATGATTGAAATTTAGGATATTTATGTTCAAGTGTGTATTCAACCAGAACACAAACACATACGCACGCACACATACACACACACACAGTAGCCATTAATGAAATGTTCATATGATCCAAATTTGGACATTAATATATTGTATTGTTGTTCAACACTTGTAAATTGATTGTAATTGATTCGATTTGACAATATCATTCAATAGTAAGAATGGTTTGGTCATATGGAAATGGACGATCTGCGATGTGGTTGTTAAAATAATTTATCGTGGCTTTTCGAACAAAAAAAAGTTTCGGTCATGATGAATTTAGAATGATTGAAAATAATCTTCACACTTGAGAAATTCAATCAATTTGTCAGCCATTTACTTGTATTTGATTTCCATTCGATAATAATTATTTCAATTATTATCATCATCATAATAATAAATTCAAATGAAAATTGAAGGATAGAGGGATTTTATTGTCAATATTTTTTTTTCGTAAAAACCGCCAAACTAAATCGATCGTCTAAAATGATTTTATGAACCATAAACAGTGAAAATAGCGCTTTGTGTGGACAACATCATCATCATCATCATGATTTATATAGCGACAAATGTCATGCGGTGTTTGCTAAACTAGATTTTTTTTTGTTTATGTTTGATCCAAAGAGAAAAGTAAAACAGGTCTCCATCTTAGCTCAATTGGCTTTTTAGTTGTTGTCTTTATTTTTGGCTTTTAGCCATTGATCGATTGCCTAATTAATTAGTCAATAAGAGCATGTTTACAATCTGAATTTCTTATTCAATTATCATAATGAAAAAAAACTCAATTCTGATACAAAAAAAACGCGAATAATATCAAACAAGATTCAAGAATAGAAGAAGCATAATAGCGATCTTAATGAAAATTTATTTGCAGCTAAATTTGAACAAATAATTTTATTCATTCAAAATATCAAAGGTATGTGAATATCCGAATTTACCAGATCTATATATATTTGTATTATGAAATTAATTGACCAAAACATGTTTTTGGTCACGTTATTGTGATCGAAATATTTGAATTTATATATTTTTTGTTTTTTTTTCCATATTTTCTTCACTCCTTCATACCATTTCATTATTCATTTATCAACAAAATCAACGACATACGAACATTCAAAATCCTTTTGTTGAATATGATTTTTTTTTCGCATCCAATACATATAAATATTGATTTGATCAATTATTATCTGTTCGAAATGTATACAATATCGGTAAACACATTAAAATGACTATAATATATATCAAGTAGATACAATACTAAATGTCTGTGATGGTTGTTGTGTATTGTATATTGAACAAATAATAGTTCAAAAAACAATTTCATCTCATTCATTAAAAATTAATAATAATCAACATAAACACTCCTTACTACTGTCATTGGCCCCTTTTTTTCGAATGACTTGATTTTATCATTCTTGATCAATGAAAAAAAAACAATAATCACGATTCAAAAATAGAGGGTTAACGGTAAATGAATTTTTCATTATTTACCAGAAAAAAAAATTATTAATCTTGTATCATCATCTATATATCTATATATGTTATATATGAGATAAGAACAAAAAAAAATAATACAATTATAAAATGACATTATTGTCCATGTGGGCGTTTATTTTTTTTTATGGCCCTTGGTTAATATAATAATAATAATAATACTCATCATTTTTTATATTTTTTTTTTGCTTTTTTCTCATTATTCATCTTTTGTTTTGGCATTTTTTTTTCGCTAGTTTTTTCAACCATCCCATTGTGTTTGTTTTGTATTTTATTTTTTTTTTCACAAATGTGTGTATGATATAAAAATCTCTTTATATATGTAAAAAAAAGAAACAAAAATGATTATGGAAAACATAACCATCAATGACGGTAGTAGTGATAGATTAGAATTGGAACCAACCGGCCCAATATCATCGATTATATCAACAAAAATATCAACACAATCCTCGATCTCAGCCACACCTCAAACACAATTAAAAGTATTAATGCGTGCAACATCAATTGGTCTAAATAATCCATTAAGGAAAACATTGTGGCTTGGATTATCATTACGTAATAATGCAGTCAATGCTGTTGATTTTGATACACAATTCGATAATTTGGCCGTCAATAAATTGCCCAATTTTGTTGATCCAACCACTACAAGATTCTTTTATCTAAATTCAATATCACGTAAACATGTTGCAACTATACTCTGGAATTTATCACAATGTATGTATGTTTGTTACACTATACAGTGTTATTATGTTTTTGAAATAACATTTTAATCAATTTAAATGTCATATATAAACGAATAGCTTATCCTCAGATGACATTCGCACCTCTCCTTTATCCATTGGTTTCATTATTTCTACATTTTCATTCTCCTGTCGATGTTCATCGAAGCATTGTTGCTTTGGTATGTTTGAAATTTTTTCAATCAATTCTAATTCTAATAAACTATAATTCAATAAATAATTCTTTTTTTTCTTTCCTTATTTAGCTAATGTCACGAGAATCGCGTTTTATTGGCATCAATCGAATAGATAAAAAGTGTGATGCATTAAGCTTAATTCGTTTGGCTAATAAATTTGGTATAGCCAAATTGAGTAAGATTGGTTCGAATGGTTTGGAAAAAATTCAAGATTCCGATGCTGCATTTGCTGATTGGATTCAATGTAAGTTTCTTGTCCTCGAGAAAATTTATCTAACATGAAATCACGATGGGCACGAATGTTGATAAATCTGATTTGATTATAAATCGAGATTTGATGGAGAAACAAAATGTTTTTTTTATATTATTTTTATCGCATGAAATAGTTTTTTCTTTCATTATAACTTTGATCTTAGGCGATGTGTATGTACGCTCCGAAACATATCTTGATGAAATGATTTTTTTTTGTTATTGTTGTTTTTTGGTCTTTGTTCTCATTAGGGATCTTTGGCTGCCTGCCTTTTCATTTTTGTGTACGAATTGTTGACTGTTATCTGGTGGAAGGGGAAAAATTTCTATACAGAATAGCAATGGCATTAGCAAGATTGTTTGAGAAAACTCAAAGGAAACCGCTCAACATCGAACAGATGAGAGTATTCTGTCAAGATATTGCAACGATTGTCACACCAACTCAATTGATTCAACAGGCGATCAAAATAACCAGATTTTCACGTAAAGGTATTGTAGTGATTAAACAATGGACAAAATTATAATGGTTTTATGGTTTTTAATTTCTTAGACATTGTCAAAGCTAGATTAAAATCTGAAAAAAGAAGTGAAACAATTTATTTTCCAGAATCACCATTTCTTAGTCGTAATGGTATGTTAATTATTGAATTCAATTATGTTGAACGTAAATTTGACTATTCTCCCGTTGAATACAGATGTAATATCTCAAAAAGATGTAACATTTGGAAATAGAATTGCACCACGTAGATTTAAATCGTCCATACTCAGCTGGAATCAATTGGATATACTTTGGGAATGGATTCCCGAACGTATTTATATTCAAGAACCATTGATCGCATTTTGTTCGGACGAAAATGGTAAACATGATCATCATAGTAGTTTTTTTATTTAATACAATTTTTTATCATCATTAAAATAGGAAATTCTCTTCGCACCTTTTATTCTTTATGTGGTGAAAACGAACCTACAATAATTTTGATTAAAACAATTAAGAATCAGGTAATTTCTCAAAAAATAGGATCAAGTATCTGTAAATTCTTTTTTTTTGAATAGATATTCGGCTCTTATTGTTCATCGAGCTGGTCAAAACGATTAGAATGCAATAATCGTACTGGACAATTTTTCGGTAATGGTGAAACATTTTTATTCAGCATCCATCCACGTATTGTTAAATATGATTGGGTGGGAAAATTACGTAATGTAAATGAATTGACACCATCACAACAGTTATTCATGTCGGCAACAAATGAATCATTTTCAATCGGTGGAGGTGGTGGACATTTTGGTCTTTATATTGATGAAAATCTTTCTCGTGGTGAAACACATCATTGTGATACGTTCGAAAATGAACCATTGACCAATGATGATACATACTTTGATGTTGCAACTATTGAAATTATTGCATTTTGTTAAGTATTTTTTCATTAATTTTCACATATTGTTGTATTCCCTTTGCTTTTTTTCGGGACGATTTTTTAATCATTGTATATTTCGGGTAAAATGTCAATCGCTAATTTTGCAAAGAACATTTTTATCATCATTATCAGCATTTTCCCTTATTCTTACGATTCATCTATGTTGTTTGTGTGTGTGTGTGTGTGTTTGTAAAATTTTTGTAGATAAAAAATTTCATAATTCAGAACATTTCAAAAGAGTTTGATTCCGTTTTTGTAAATTTTTTTTTCAAAGAAAAAAATAAAATCATTTATTTCGCCCCCACTCATTTGTTTAGCTTTTTTCTTTGGTTGGCGTGTACGATTTCGATTAGACAGATTTGATTTGATTTTCATTAATTTTTTTTCCCTATATGAAAAAATTACATCACGTATAAGTAACAAATTCATCATTTCAAGTTTGATATCGATTCGTAATTTGTTATAGTAATTCATATATTATATATACACATGACCATCAACAAAAGAATTGTAAAAAAAATCTGGATCCAAATATAAAAAAAATTAATGAATGATTATGAATTGGTCATGAATCATTATCGATGATCAATGATCAAGGTCCACTTGATGTTATCATTGATGATGATTTATTGTTCATTTTGCTTGGATTTTTTGTTATTTTTTTCAATGCATCACTATGCAATTTATATTCCAATATTATATTGGTCGGTAAATTCAATACACGTTTCAATGTATCACGTATTCGAGCTTTTATCTCCTGATCATTGCCACTACGATTCCAAACACATATGTAATCTTCTGTAAGAGTTTGAAAAAACCATAACATTATAAACAGGCTGAAAATTTGATTATTTATTACAAACCATAATAACGACAAGCGACAACGATGCCACAGATTTCATCATCGACCATGAATTGTTCGCCTAAGGAAAGTGGTTTTTTTTAAAAAAAACATTGCCAACTACAATTATAACAAACCTATAAATGCTAGTAATAAATTTTCCCAGAATCTTGATGCAAGACCTAGCGAATAATTTAAATCATTATAAATTATAACCATCCATTGTCAATAATTAAATATTTCATGATGGTTAAAAATATATATACCTTTGCGCAATCGCAATTTCCACATTCCACCATCTTTATTTGCTTCATCCTAAATATAAATTTTCATTCATCAAATTATGATTTTAATGACAACGTAATAAAATTTACAACAATTAAACTTACTTCCCATAAAGGTTTAATACCAGATTTAAAGACATGCAAATCTGAATGTCCTGTCAATTCATTAGGTCGTACTAGGTGAGTATAAACTGACCAAAAACTTTGTATAGTATCAAATGTGGCAACAATCTTTAAATTTTGATCATAATTTTGTGAATTTGGCATAGCTTTTCCTCTGTTGACACCTCGAAACCATACATCATATTGATGTTGAAGCTTCTGAAAGAAAGCAAGAAAAAAAAATAAAACATTATATCTGAGAAAAAAATTATTGTATACAAACTTTAGTTTCTTTATCGTTCATCGTAACAGCAACGTATTATTAATTATTATACAACAACAAAAACGAATTATATATTAACAAAATGTACAGCAATACTGAATGGACTAATAATGAAGCAAGTCGAACAAAATTATGGTTGTCACAACAAGGTTACATAGACGATCCTTTTGTTAAGAATTTTTGTCAAAATCCAATGAAAAGAGCACCTGAAATCAATCGAGGTTATTTTGCACGAGTTTACTCCATAACTCACTCAGTCAAACGTTTTTGTTTGAAAGATGGCGCTAATTGTCAGATCGTAAATATTGGTTCAGGATTTGATACACTTTTTTGGAGGTAATTATTATTATTTTGAGAATTAAATTGAAAAAAATTAAAAAAAGATTTTAAAATTATAATTTTTGATTATTACAGGTTAATAAAAAATTCTGACATCCAGTTTAACCGTTATGTTGATATAGATACAAATGAAGTTATTGATTATAAAATTCGAACCATACTTAAAAATGAAGAATTGCTTCAATTCTGTGGCAAGGTGGAAAAATCATCACCATCACAGTTTATCTCTGAACGTTATAATGCTATAGCATTGGATGCGACAAAAGCAATGCAATTGGTGAGACAATTATTACAGGAATGTCGAATAAATAAAACGGATCCCATTATTTTCATCTTTGAGTGTGTTCTTCTCTATTGGCCCGAAGAATCGACCACTAATCTAATCTATACGTTAAACAAAACGTTCACCAATTGTAATTTCGTCATATTTGATCTAGTTAATACTAAGGATAAATTTTCCGATTTGATGCAACAATCATTGGTCGAACAACAAACACCATTACTTGGTGCCAATTCTTTTCGAACGATTGATGATTGGCAGACAAAATTGTCGAAAATGAAATGTTCACATGTACATGCCTGGATTATGAATGATGTATATTATAAATTAATCCAACAAAATGAACGTGAACGTATTGAAAAGATTGAATTTTTTGATGAAATTGAATTAATGTTACAATTATTCAATCATTATTGTTTGGTCATGGCAAGTAATTATTCGAATTTCGATTGGTAAATCGTTTTTGGAAATGCGTACAAGAATAATTTTCAGAATGAATCGATGTGATTAGAAATTGAATTAAATTTTTTAAAAAATGTAAAAAAACCGAGTTGTAATTGTAAATTATTTTTAAAAATCGAATTATTCTTATTTTCGTCATTTATGTGTGGAAATAGCAATTTTCGAAGGTGAATGTTTCGTTCCCATTCACATTTGTACCAGTGATACATACGGCCAGCATTAGCTTTTAGTTAATTCTTGATTTTCTTTTTGTTGTATTTGAAAAGATGTTACGTTTACGCCCAAAATTGATTCGAAAATTTCTTTCGGTAAATATATTATTATGAACAATAAATCTGAATGTTTTCATTTTAAATCATTCCGTTTGTAAATAGAGCCAGTCTCAGCTTACTGGTACCAGACATTTATCCTCACAAGGATCATCGTATGTTTCATGAAATTTAAAATGTTGAATTTTTCCTATCTAAATTTCATTCATTTTACAGAAAGCTCAAAGCATCATTTTTACTTGGGACCGGAGCTGTTGCCGTAACAACTTTAACATTGGCCTATGCTAAATATGATAAACAATTTGCAGATCAACTCACATCATATGCGCCTTTCATCAAAAATTTGCTCGAAGATAATCCAACTTTAAAGGCAAAAGATGATGGAATTTCGGAATTTCAGATTATGAAAACTTATAAACCGATTGAAACAGTAAAAAGTATTAGTAATGTTCAACAAAAATCTAATGGAGAAGAAAAAGCTGTAACCGAGAAAAAAGAGGAACCGACAAAAATGCCAGAACCACAAAAGATAACCAATTCAAAATCAGAAAATCAGCCTAAAATAACGGAAAAAGATTTGAAGAACGAAGTGGAAAATCTTCAGCTTAAAGTATGATTTGAACTTTATGTTGCAATTGATAATTCTATTTATTTATATTCAATTAATAATAGGCACATAATCCAAATGTACTTGAAGATGAATTCCGTGGGCAACTGAAAAGGCTATTATATGCATTCAATGAATTCTATGAAGAAAAACGAATTCTTTATGAGACAGAAAACAAACGTAAACAAGAAGTTGAAATGAAGAATTACCTTATCCAGGAAAGAGCGTCAATGTCTGAAGAATATGAGAAATCAATGAAAAAATTGAAACAGATGGAAAAACTTTTACAGAGTAATAAAGAATATTAAAATGAAAATGCCATAATGCAAAATAACCGAAATTATTCTTTTTTTTCAGTTCGAGATCAATTGGACAAACAGGAGAAGGCATCCAAGAAATTATGGTTGCTTAGCCAAACATTATCCAAGCTGCTCGAACATAATCGAACTTTGAGCAAAGAATCCACACCAATTGACATACAAGAAAAAATCGATTGCATTCGAAAAATTGTCGACGAAAATTTCGCCAACGAAACATTAATACAAGTTGCATTGAAAACACTTCCAGAGGATGCTATTAAAAGCGGTGTTTATAGTGAAGAAGATTTGGTACGTCGTTTCTATAATGTGCACAAGATCTGTAATCACGTTGCTTTGGTTGATAAAGAATATACCAATATATTTGGCTATCTAAAATCTTATGCATATTCGTATGTTCGACCATTATTTCAAATAGAATTTGAAATAAGCCCAAATCCAATTAAAATTAAGGAGATACCATCTGAAGAATTGGAAGGAAAAATGGAAATTGATCCAAATGAATGGGATTCATATGATATTTTACAACGTGTGAAATTATGTGTTGAACATCGTAACTTGGAAATGGCCATACGTTATGCTAATCTTTTGAATGGTGAACCATATGTGGTAGCAAAGGATTGGATCAAAGATGCACGAGAACATTTAGAAGTTAAACAAGTGCTGGAGCTAGTACAGACTAAAATCGCATCAATCAATTTACATCAGCTTTCATTTAGTGCTTAATTTATTGTGTTAATAATAAAATTATGTTATTGAAGAAATATAATGAAGGGGTTCTGTCTTTTCCAAAATTTTACAAGTTTTTCATTTTTAATAAATAAATAAAATTGAAATGTGTTAATATTCAGAAAAAAGTGACCACTGATGTGGGAATAGAAATATCTATATCGTCAAGCCGACAATCATCACATGTGTGTTTGATTGGATTTGGATTCTAGTAGCTTTAATGAATTTCCAAATGATTTCGAACCAAAAATGAAACAACAGTTTTTTAATCGAATTTTTGAACTAAATTATTTATTGATTATCGCATTTTTCACTATATTACAGATATCGAATTTAACCAATGCCGATGAAGTGGTTGGTTGTGGTGGATTTGTCGTCTCCAGTGTCAGTATTAATTATGAACCAATCAAAATTAAATTGTAATTATTATTTGCTATAAAAAAAATTTGTTGATTTTTCAATAAATGTTCATTTTTTTTTGTAGATATACTGATCGCGGTATCATAAAATATATAAGCGATTGTGCACCCAACAATGGCTATTATTTCATTCCTCTATATGATTTTGGTAAATATGTTTTACGTATAACTCCTCCACAAGGATGGATATTTGAGCCAAACGAAGTTGAATTCAATTTTGATGGAAAAAATGATCTTTGTTCCAAACAGACAGATATAAATTTTGTTTTTAAAGGCTTCACAATTTTCGGCAAAGTTTTCAGTTTTAACTCTTTGGCTGGTCCAAAAGGTGTTCACATTATATTGCGTTCCAAAGCAAACAATAATGTTATCAAGCAAAATGTCACTTTTGAGGATGGACTTTACGAATTTCATGAAGTATTACCAGGTCAATATTTGATAGAAGCTTCACATGAACGTTGGCAATTTTTAAAAAATACCGTGATTGTCGATGTTGTTGATGATAATATCGATCATCGTCAAGCAAGTGAACCTTCGGATCATCTTTGTTTGTTGGGTTATTCGGTTGTCGGCAAAGTGGTGAGCGAAGGTCGGCCAATTCGAGGTGTTCAGTTCGCTTTATTCAGTGAAAATCGAAAACCTTCATTTTCATTGGGATGTCAAGAAACCAAACCCAATTTTTTATCTAATTTAAAAGTTGATTCGAAATACCATTATTTATGCTATACTTTTTCAAATGAAGATGGACAATTCAAGTTTGACTTTTTGCCAAATGGAAAATATCTTGTTTATAGTTTTTATGATGCTCAAAACATTCGATTTGAAGTGGTACCTTATCAACATGAATTTGAAATCAATAATAATGATCAAGATGTTGGCGTTTTGTTTGAAATTGGTGGATTCACAGTATTTGGTCAGGTTTTGAATCAGCAAGATCCAAACGATAAAATTAAAAATGTTCGTATCCAACTTATCGATGAAAATAGACACTATGATGACATCGAAGTTTCAGTCAAAGAATCGAATGGAAAATTTTCTGTCAATAATATTAAAACTTCAAACTATGTGATCATAACTACATCTGATCGGTATCGGTTTGATGATATTAAATTTTTAATTTCTCCTAATTCGCCTAATATTCCAGTGATAACTCCTAGCAAGTATGAAATTTGTGGCAAAATTATTTTCAAAAATCATGAATTTAAAGATGATACTATGGAGTTGTTGATAATGGAAAAAGAAACGAAAACATTGGTCGAAAGTGTTACCATAGATAACGATGAATTTTGTCTTTTCCTACCCAGTGGTAATTATTCATTTCAAATGAGCACTCATCTCAAATTTGTTCCAAATACGATGGAAATTTTGGTTAATAAACCTCGTTCGGATATTGTCTTCAAGCAGATGACTATCACATTAAATGGCCGAATCAAATTGAAATCAGCATTGTTGGAAGATAACGATTTTCTATCAGTAATTCTGTCCAATGACAAAATTGCTGCAAAGACATTACTCATCAATGAGTTAGTCAAAAAATCAACCAGAGAATATGAATTTGTCTTTGAAGATCTACTACCTGGTGATTATTTGGTTTCTTTGGGTGGCCGGCAAGTCAACTATTTTTGTTGGAAAGAAAATATTATTTCCGTAAAGTTAAATGAAAAAAATCCTGGTGAACTTATATTTGAACAAAAAGGATTTCTATTACAAATCATTTTGTCACATATTTCCGATTTAACCTTAATAAGTCCCAGTGGACATTCAACAAAAATTGCCAAAGAATCAATCGCTCACGATCGATTGATAAAACATTGTGTTGAAGAAACTGGTAAATATTCGATCATACCAAGTGGTTGCCATAACTTTTTATCAAGTCCGGATTCGAATATTATTTTTGATGCTGAAACCATGTCTGGACAAATGATACAGCTCACAGCTTTGCAACATTTAGTAACCGCTAAGATTACGACTACTACTAACATTACTGATTTACAAGTTTTTATCAATACCAATTCGATCGATGGTGAACGCAACGAAACATTACAGCTAAATAAGGGCCACAAAATTAAAACCAATGTGTTTGAATATAATTTTGAATTCTATGAAAATCCCATGTCAGAGATTTATATTGAGCCACGATCATCACAATTGATTTTCAAACCTTCATTTTATCGATTTCAATTGAAAGATGATTGCCATCTCAATGAGATAACGTTTAATGGTCGTCCAGGTATTTTTATAAATGGAAAAATAAGCCAAAAAATATCCGATGTTAAAATTGTCATTTATGATAATGAAACAAATCAAATTCTGCAAACTATTGATACCGACAATCAAGGTGAATATAAAGCTGGTCCTTTTGATGATGAAATAGATTTACGAATCGAAGCAATGAAAGAAGATTTCGTTTTTAAAACATTGCCGAATAAAAAAGGCCATTTCGAAGTTAATAAACTTTCATCGATAAACACAGTGATTGTATATGAAGATGGAAATCCTTTGAATGAAGTATTGGTCTCATTAAGTGGGGGCGAAAATAATTTTCGGCGCAACAGTTTTGTTAATACTGAAGGAAAATTATTGTTCGATAATTTACATTCAGGAAAATATTTTATTCGTTTTCTACGCAAAGAATATGATTTTGAACCATCATCAAAAATGTTCAATATCGATAATGGTGATAATGTTGTCATTAAAGTGGTGGGGAAAAAAGTTGCATTCAGCTGTATTGGAATAGTTGATTCTCTTAATGGCGAACCTGAACCAGATATTATTGTCGAAGCAGTTGGCATAAGAAATATTGTTGAAAATAGCACTGTACAATGTACACAACTACAAGAACAATCAACAAGTGAAGTTGATGGTTCGTTTAGAATTCTTGGATTACTACCGGATTGTCAATATGTTATTCGCTTGAAAGCTGATCATTTGAAGAATAAAAATATTAGCAAATCGATCCCCAAAGCTCATTCGGTTCGGGTACAAAATCGTGATCTAAGTGATTTGCGATTCATTGTGATTTATAAAAGTTTACAAACAGATTTAACCGTCGCGATTCAAACGAACGAAGAATATTTGAAAACTATTTCAGTGAGTATTTTTGATATTTGCTTTATTGGTGTTTTTTTAAATAAAAAAATGTTCAAAATTTTAGATTAAATTGTTCCGTGCAAATGAACCTAATGCCATGTTCCAGCAAACATTACATAATTCATTCGTATTTTTACCATCTGTTCCATTGGACAATGCTACATATCTGTTGAAATTAGATTCGAATCTTGATGAACGAACATATCAATTTGAGCCAATCATCCATTCGATACAAGCGAATCAAAGCTATCTACACATTCATATAGATTTCCCTGTTCAACGTCGTCATCAACATGATGGATCAAGTGATCATGATATGGCACATAATTCATTTTATTCGCTAATCTTATTCTTGATCGGTTTAGCCATTTATAATCATCGCCTAGTTTTGGAATTTTATCATAAGACACCAATTAATGTGGCAGACATTCGTCAAATATTCACCAATTCTTCTTCATCAAATAATGATAACACATCTGATGGTAGCCATTCTTCTTCAAGTAACAATAGTAAAAAGAAAATGAAATTTAAGAAAAATTGAATTGCAATTTTGTTGTTGTATTTATTATAGTCTTGATTTTTGTTCATTTTTTGTCGATAAAATAAAAATGTTTTTATCAGTAGACAATGATTGTTAATTTTTGTTCAAACATTGACACCGCCTATAGTCATACAGGTAAAATTTTCATGTGTAAACACTGTCTTAATAAAACCGTTTTCTTATTCCTATCATATATCTGTCTGTGATAAAATTGTTAAACTTGACCGGTTCTACTTGTCGGTCGAGCTTGTCCTACGTCTGAACGAAAATAGCTTGCTGTTCAACATTCAATATTCGTTGATGATGGTTCTCGAAATATTCGAGGAAGTAGGGTGGTATAATGGCTTTTTTGTTGTTGATTAATTAGTTTCGCTCAATGCACGATCGACGACTAGTATGAAGAAGAGAAAACAACGGTTATATTACAACCGTCCATTTAAACGGTTTGCTTTTCATTACCTATCCACTTCGACCTGAAAGCAAGTCTGGATCAAGAGATTGTTGTTTTTTTAAATTTGTCATTCAATTGTCAATGTTTCTTTTGTTGTTTTTGAATCTTATAACAGTATCAATTTTTCTTTGTGATTTGTTTCATCAAAATTTCATTTAAAATCGTATCAACTGACCTGAATCAAGCTGGTTTGGAAAAAGTGTTTATAAATTAATTAAACCGTTTTGACAGCAAAAAAAAACAACAACAAAGATGCGTCTTTATACCTGGACGTTCATATTGTTATTCGTTCCAATTTGTATTCGTTGTGTTTCACAAGAAAGTGACAAAGCAATCGAATCTAATTCAAAGGATCTTGCCCAACCAAAATTAGATAATGCAGCTCTTTTTTCCAAGCAACTTGAAAATGACAAACTGATAACATCGTTAATCAAATCAATCTTACGTATCGCTTCGAATGGATTCAAATGTGAGTCACTCAATGTGTATTTCAAGCTCTAACTTTTTTTCATTTCTTTCAAAGCTGGTCTAGAAGCTTCGGTCCGTGGGATTTTCGATAAGCCATTGACAAGTGCAGTGGCTGCCATTTCTATGGTTATTGGTGCTGTCGCCATATTAGCATTTTATGAATCCCCAAGTATGTATTAAAATGGCCAGTCTTAGTAGAAAATTATTATATCAAATGGATTTATATTTTTCAGTTTCACCTTTACCCGTGCCTCCATTGCCGGATCCGCCTGTTGGAAGATTTCCACCAGAACATCCAGTTTGGCCACCACCAAATCGTGGAAATCAACAAATTTCTTATCAACCAAAACGTGCTTCCATTCCATATCCTGTAAATAATTTAGCCAATAATTTCATCTATCCAATGGGCATGAATACTTTCACAAATCATCGATCTGATTCGAATGCACGAATGCCATTACCAATGCAACAATTAAATCGATTTCAGCAACAAAATCAAATTTCAAATGCAGAACTACAAGATCAACATAAAAGTGATTTGAAAAATTTCGTCAATCTCAATCTAGATGTCAAGAACAACAAAGTTATGGATTATAATAACAAACGAATCGCAATGGAAATGATGAAAATGAGTCAGGGAAATCAGACTGTTTCATTTTTTTTTGTTTCATCGAAAATTTTATTTATTTTGATTCATAATACATACAAGAAAATTCAAACATAAATTTTTGTTTTCCATTATGAATCATTACGATGTGAGTTGAAAACCAGTCTTGAATCGTTTGTTGTTTTTTCGTTGTGAAAAAATATTGATATGCATTTTTTCTGGTGAACTTAACTGTAATTGCAAACAGGTTTTTTAGATTTCAGAAGCCTTCGATTATCTTCCGCATTTTTTGTTTGTTTGTTTGTTTGTTATCATCTTTTTCAGGTTAATTCAATGAATCACAATCGACCGAGACTTTGAATATATATTTTTTTTTTCTAATGTCAATAATATAATGGTTAATTCCGACTGAATCAATGTTGGTGAATTATTGGTTTTTATAGAGTAATCGTTGACTTGTTCGTTTGACTATTATCTTTATTGTGATGACGGTAATGATTGTGCAAACAGGGATACATATATGCACAGGATACACCCTTGAGGGCATTGGTTGCAATTTCATAATACATTTTTACAGCTTGAACTAGATCCAATTTAAAATCAAAACGTTCAACAGCAATACTATAAATAACAAAGAAAAGAGAAAAATATCAAATAATGTCACAGTACAATGTCAAGATCGGTTTTTATTTTTATTTTTCAAATATATTCACCCAAGTATGTCCAATAGTGCCCATTCATAATCTGATAATTTCGGAAACTTATCCGCTTTGATGGCATTTTGAATTACTTTACATGAATAATATTTTTTACAATTTTCGTCCAAGATTTTTTTATTCTTTTATTAATAGAAAAAAAATAAATCCCGTAGATAAAAAAAGAAAAAAATATGATAAACTTACTCGTAAAGTAGTTTCAAGAAGTGATAAAAATCTTCGCGTTTCATCCCGATTCAACAATGGTAAATGTGTATTGGTGGCAAATTCATTTAAACTTGCACGTTTATATCGTCTTGTATAGATGAAACCTTAAAATGAATTGATTGATAAAATAATGATGGTAATTTTATCTACTAACCATTTGGCCATGTGTTGAATGTTCGTGCCAATGTGAATAATAATGGTATCAATGTTAATGTATAGATAAAAGTATTCATTATTGTATGATAACCAATTCTTCGTGCATTCATGATGACATCGTTACGCCGGTTTATAATATCGTTCAATGAATTATTATGATTATCACCATTTAGTTGATTGTGTTCCGATTCAGGTGGATTTGAATGAGTCATTAATTTCTCTTTGTTATTACCATCATTAATATTGCTCATCGAATGCATTGCAGTAGTGTTTGTAACACGATCTTGACTTTCATGAAGTTTTTGATTATAATGCTGATGATGATGATGATGAGAGTCGACGGGTGATTTGGACACGAAAATCAAGATGAAAATATTGAATGCAAAAAGATAATTTAACTGCCAAATCATTTTTTTCTTTTATATTTTGTCTTTGAATTCAAATTCGAATGTTCTTATGTTCGACACGTATCCTGGATGCGGACTGGACAATGAATGATTACGAAGATGCGATATCCTGGTAAAACCGAATATCATTCAAATCATACGCATAAAATACACAGCATAAAATATCCATTTTTGTTTGGCCGGTTGGATGATGATCTCGGTTGATTGCTTTCAAGCTATAAGACATAAGACATGCAACCGGAATGCTTATCCAACCAAACCATCCATCCATCCAATCGGCCAATCAGTAACACACATTTAAATGATGATGATGACAACAACGGCCATGATAGTTATGATGATGATGATGATGAAACAAATGAGACCATTGTGATCATTGAAGTGAGAACCTGGTCGTCGTTTTTTTTTCTAAGATTACCATTCAAACAAGTTCGATTGTTTCAAATTTGAATATATACGAAACTGATAATTGAGAGTAGAATGAAAAACAATAGAATGTCCTATATGATTGAATAGAATGAAGGCCATAATTTTTTGATTTATATCTTTAAAATTCTTTGTTCTATCATCATCCTCATCATCATCGTTATAATAATAAGAATAGATTCATCAACAAAATTGGTGTCAAATCGTTTGTATTATTTTTTTAAAAAAAATAAAATAACAATAAATTATCAAAATATTTACATTGAAAAGAAATATTTTTTTATGATTTTGAGAAAAAAAGAACGATTGATCGTTTTAACTTGGATTGAGCAATGAATTACGATTAAAGATAAATCTACGAAATTGTCTAGATCCTAATGTTGGACAGTTTCGAAATTCTTTATTACAATCTTTATCGGCAAAACCTTTTTTGGCAGCATTTATGTAAAATTTGATTGATTCTTTACTTTTCTGATTTAATGAACTCCAAGAATCTATATGTTTTTCAAGGCTAATTAAAAATTATTGAAAATCAGTGAAAATTTGTAAATAAAATCAATAAATAACTAACTTGAGTACATCCAATGCATTCACTGAGAATGTTTTGAGCAATTTATTATGTGATATAATTTTCTGATGTATTTCACATACGATACGTGATTGGCATTCAGTATCGGTTATCTCATATCTTCGTAAACCATTTCGAATGATTGAATAAATATCCCGTAATGAGGTATATAAAAGATCCATTCCTTTGATAGATTTTTCCATCTGACCATCCTCACTGCTACTACCAGCACCTTTTAGAATATTGTCAGCCGGATAATTTGTTTCCGGTGATGATGAATTATTATTATCATTATTAGATAATGTTGATGATACTGCTGATGTCAGTCCTTCGATTTGATTGGCCATTTCATTTTCTATTTTATCCGGAATATTCGAAAGTTCAGGAATCGGTGCTTCATTCGGTGTGACTACAGGCTGAGCATATCGCTTATTCATTACTACTCGGAATGTTTTGGCAATACTCCGCATTACATTCAATTGACGTCTAATTGGTTGATTGAGAATATCGCTCTGATTTCCTGATATTGACAATGAATTCAAAAATAAAAATGAACTTGCAAATAATTCATTGAAATAAATTACCTAAATTCATCATGTACAAAGGATAATTTTATTATTCGGTTAAAGTAAGAAATAAAACTTAATATTTACAAAATGAAAAGGGGGAGTGGGTGAAGTGTTCATTGTGGGAGTGTACTATGGGGTGTGTGTGAAAATTTAAGGGAACGGTTGTGTAAGCGCAAATGGTGGTGGATGTGTTGGCAGAAGGTATGGAAGGTGTTGCTTTTGATTAGAAATTTAATTGTATCAGCGAGAATATGAGAGTGTTGTTGAATGTATGTATTGGTAATGTCAAAAAATCTCGGGCAGTGTAGTGTGATGTGTGTGTATGTTTCAGGCAGACTACAAAGTGGGCACAGAGGCGACGGACTAATTTTCCATATGCGATGTAGATACTCCCGAGTGGGACCGTGTCCCGTAAGAAAGGAAGTAGTAGCCTGTGTTTGGGGGAAAGAAATTAAATTGTGTTCGTAGAGAAGTTTGACAGGATCTTTAGTACAATTATCATGTATGATGTCCATGAGTGAATGAAATTTGGAGTTTGTCAATGAATCAATGGTTTTTTGTGTTGTGTGATTGTAAGAGAATTTTTCCGGAATGTTTGTGATGGGGGGAGGGGTGGAGGAAGAGAATTTAAAAAAGATTTTTATGTGATGATCAAATATTAAATTAATTAATTTGTTAGATATTTTTGAAACTGTGGATTTGTAATCGAAAAGATTTTTGGTGTTTGTGACAATGAGAATGCTGTTTAAGGGGCTATTGTGTTCGTGGGAGAGATAAGTTGATAAAGTTTTGTAGATGTTATGATAAGAAGCTTCTTTTGTCTGAGTATGGTTGTTGTATTTGGTGGTGAGAGAGAAGCCAGATGATTGGATGACTGTGTGACAAAGTTTGTATTCGTTGAGAGTCAGGGTGTGTGTCGAGAGGGTGAGGTCAAAGTGTGAGTTGGTGTTGGAGATGGGGTGTATTGGGATGATAAGGGGGTTAGTGGTAAAAAGAGGGGGGAGTTTTTGTTTCAAGTTGTGAACATCAGATTTCAGATTTATAGTGTCCAGGATAGAAGGAGAATTGGTGAGTAGATGGATGCAATCGATTGGTGTAGACTTGTAGGCATTAATAGCATTTCTGAGGATGGCGTTGTCGAACGTGTTGAGCATTCTTTTTGTTTTAAAGTTAATTTTATTGTTCCAGATTTCGGAGGCATAGAGAAGGGAGGGAAGAAGAAAGTTTTTGTACAGAATGAGTCTTCTCGAATGAGTGAGGCCGTATTTGTGCGAGATGTGCAGTTTCAGAATGTTTAGATATTTATACAATTGAGAGATTTTGTTCTGGATGTGGCAGTCAAATTTCAGATTTTGAGTAAACGTCACTCCTAGAATTTTGGTGTTGGTGACGGTGTTAAGGTTGATGAGATGGTCAATTGCAGGGCTGGATCTAGATGCAATTGGTAGTACATTCGATTTTTGAAAGTTGATAGGAATTTTATTATTAGTGGCCCAGGTGTTGACAGCATGAGTTATGTTATTGATTTGTAAGGCGAGAGAGCTTTCAGTATTTCCAGCGGCCAGGATGGTAAGGTCGTCAGCGTAGGCAGTACATGTGTAGTTGTCAGATAAATTGGTCAGCAGGTTGTTCATAATGACGTTCCAAAGGGTGGGAGAGAGAACTCCCCCTTGTGGACAACCACGGCCCATTGGAAGATGAGTGATGTTATGATGGTCAGAAAGAATAGAGACTTTTCTGTTATGCAGATAATGAGAGATGATAGATCTGAGGAAGTAAGGGCACGCTAATTTTTGCAATTGTTGGATGATAACTGAATGGGGGGCGTTATCGAAAGCGCCTTTGAAGTCGATTGAAATGATTGCTTTATGTTTGAGTTTGATGTTGTTTAGGTCAGAGATGATTTTTTCAAGGGCACTGATTGACGATTTGTTGTTTCTGAAACCATGCTGAGAATGGTGAATTAGACCGTTGGGTTCTAGGTAGTGGACTAGATACATGTTGACGATTTTTTCATAGATTTTGGAGATGTGAGATGTTAAAGAGATGGGTCTGTAAGATGAAGGAGAGAAAAGATCAGATTTGTTTGGTTTGAGTATGATACGCGTGAAGGAATTTCTCCAGGATATCGGAAAGTATCCATACGAAAGGGATTTGAGAATGATTTGATGAAGCGCTATAATCATACGCATAGGGAGGTTTTTGATCATGTTGTTGGAAATGTGGTCTGGACCAGGAGCTTTTTTGGAATTTAGATCTTTTAATAGTAGAACAAGTTTGTTGAGTGGGAAGGAGATGTTTGTGCGGACAGTGTATAAAGGAGAAACGGAGAGGGATGAATCAGAAGGAAATAACGAACTCGCCAATGCTTTGATTTCATCTACTGAACGGTTGTTTGAGAGAATGGGAGTAGTAAGGGTTTTGTGTTTGAGTTTATTCCTGATGAATTTGTAAGTGTTGTTCCAGACATTGGGAGATTCATCTTCAGATTGGATGAAATTCTTCCATTCTTGTTCGGATTGATTGGAAATTAGAGAAGTGAGTTTGTTTTTTAAGTTGAGGTATTTGTTGAGGAAGATGTTCCTGAGGAATGGATTAGATGTTCTATGTAGTTTGTTTTTGACACGTTTGGTATCGTTATGAAGACATCTGATTTCTTGATTGCGGTAGATATTACGTGAAATGGTCTTAGGCAAATGATTTTTGATTGGAATTGTTTTGTAAGCATTGTCAAGGATGATGTCGGTGAAGATTTTAACACAGTTGTCTATTTCATTGTGTGATGATGCACCTTGGATTTGATTGAGTAGGGAGGTAATTTTGTCATCATCGAAATTGACAGTGAATATGTTCCATTCGAAGTTGTGTTCGTTAAATTTCCAGGTGGAATGTTGAGTGGACAGTGTTGGTTTTTGGATATTGATGGAGAAGGACTGTGGAGTGTGATCCGAGTATGTTTGTGGAGGAAGTTGATGGAAATGATGTACAAGGTGAGAGGCATTGGAGTTGTAAAGAGTGAGATCAATGAAACTGTTTCTACCATCGTTGTGTTGATATGAGGGATTGGGAGTGGTGAGGATAGTGAGATCAGATTGGTAGATGAGATCAAAGATGAGCGAACCGCGATGTGTATTTGAGTTACTGTTCCATAGAGTATGACTACTGTTAAAGTCACCACTGATGATAATTGGTAAGTCGATATTTTGATCAAGGATAGTTTGGATTTTTTGAAGATGATCGGTGATGTCTTGGTTAGATGGAAGATAAACTGACAAAATTATGAAGACACTTTGGGGGGAGAAGATTTTGATAGCACAGAGGTCACTAGAAGACGTTGGAATTGGTTCGAATTTTAGTGCTGAGTTGAAAATTGTGATAATAGCACGTGGACGATCGGGGGAGGTGGGGAGGATGAGATTGGATGAGGAGAGAATGGGAATGTAATCGTTGATGAAAGGAGGTTCTTGTATGATAGCAATGTCGAGATTCAATTTTTTGGATAAATCAATAAGCTCTTTAGCTGCGTTGGTGCTTCGATTAAGATTCAGTTGCAAAACTTTGATTGGTTCCATGAACGTTTAAAATAGGGGAGGAGGGAACAGATGGTGATGGTGGAGTGTTGGTCGAGCTGCTTGATGAAACATTGTTGATTGAGAATCTAGTGGAAGACGAGGATGAGGAGGTTGTTTGAGCATTGCTATCCGAACGGATTGGAGAAGGTTTGTTCAAGAACTTTACAATTTTTTGACGATCATAACAAGTCATTTCTTTTGTCACTTTAACTTTGTTACGATAAAATGGGCATGCGTCGGACAAGGCAGAATGATCAGAGGGGAGATGTTTATCAGAACAATGACAACAGTTTGAAGTGGTACAATTTTTAACGTGGATCGAAAATGCCGATGATTGGTTATCAATACGTGCAGTAGAGAAAGAGATACCACATTTTTTACATTTTTTATTACCATGTGGACAATCACGTGCTCGGTGTTGAAAACTCAAACATTTACTGCAGTGGCCGAGAAGAAAAGTCTCCTCAGCATTACAGGCCGACCAACCAAGGAACAGAGAATGTTGAAGAAGTTTTTCATAAATGTGGGGGGAGACACAGATTACCGCGTCGTAGTAGAAACGTTTTTTAATCGTGAACAACAGTTTGATATGATTGTTACAGTCCTCGAGGCCATTTTGTGTGATAAGCGTGTTTATGATATCGGATTCATTTGTCGAGTAGTCAATATTTTTGAGCAGCAGAGTTGGACATTTTGGAGTTGGTTCGTACGCTTCTACTGCTGAGTTAAGATTGGGGTTTTCAGAGACACGTTTCATGAATTCGTTTTTACTTGATTCGTTGGAGAATTTGAAAGCCACGTTAGATTTATTGACAGAGACTTGATTGCATTTTAAATCATAGGTAGAGATGGAATTGCAGATTGCCTCTTTAACTTGAGGAGGAGAGAGTAAGCTGTTTTTTGGTTTGACCAGAATAGTTTTGTAGTTTGGGATAGGATTGCGAACAGAGGAATTTTGAGCTACGGAACTGTATGTGACTGAGGATTGGGAGGTTTGAGATGATTCAATCTTTTCTACAATTTTATGAAATTTATCGTCGTTGATACTTTTGAGATCAGAGATTTGTTGTTTGTACAAGTTAATTTCAGATTTAAGCAAGCTGATTGAGTGTTGATGAGAGAGGATGAAGGATTCAGTATGTAGTATTAACTCATCAGCTGGGGATATAATTTTACTATTGGTACGAGGATAGGTAGCCAAAGCTTCTTTCATATTTGAGAGGGCTTGTTTGAGATTGTCGATGGTTGAATAATTAGCCATGATGATGACACAGCATCAAAATGCTATATTCACGGGGTAACAAATTGACGGGAACGGAAACAGAAGTATCACAAAACAGAAAACACGAAAAAAAAAGAGAGAAACAGTAAAGAAAAGCAGTCAAAACACAAAAGAAGAAAAACAAAACACAAGATTTGAGCACGTTGAGCTGGTTTCACACGTCTTCGCGCGAGCGCGGCTAAACAGAGAATGAGTGTGTGTGTGTGTATGTGTGGACAAACAATACAGGTTATCGATGACAAGTGCTATATATTCATCCATAACGGATCGATTATGATTTCATGTAAAATTGTGTGTTTCATCGCTAATAAAATTGACAAATATTTTATTATCGAGTGAATCTCCAAATGAAATATTCAACATGACAATTTCACACCAATTATAGAAATCATTACATCGAATTGGTAGAAAAAACATTGTTATGTGCAGATATTATGAAAGTATGTAAATTTATTTTTAATTAAAATAAAGAGACAAAAAAAGAAGGAATAATTATAAACAGGATGATTGGCGTGAAAAAAAAATTATAAAATTTATATTTGTCCAAATAACAAGCTTGTGAACAACAAGTTGTGTTGGTTGAGAGTTGAGAGTTCGGGGATGGAGGGAAAAGTATCGGTCGCTATCGGTGACCTCAATGAAATCAAATAACGATCGATTAGTGATTAACGGACAGGTATACCATACTCTTTTCAGATAGACCATAACGATTTTTATCGTGTCTAAAAATTTAGTTTTCTCCATTTTCTCTTTCTACTATCGTTAAACAAGTTGAATGAACTTGGTCTTTATTTAGATCAATCAATGGAATTTTTTCACTCTTATTCGATTTTGTTTTTCTACTTTTATAATAGTAACTTTGAAATTCACTTGATTGATATACATCGTAGTAAATATGTCAAATGGCACACACACACAAAATTGATGTATAAGAAGGCACTTTTTTCCATATTTCGACAAATTGACAAATTTTTTGCATTCATATACTGGATAGTACATTATTCCAACGGTTTGCCCTTTCGAGGTCGTGGTCATTTGATGATGTTAATGGCTTTGATTTTAAATGATTCAGCATTGTGATTGTTGCTGAAAGTGGATAAGAACTATCAACTAAATCTTCTTCACCATCTTTATCTGGATCTTTTATCAACAATTGATTACCATAGTTTGGCACCTCTGTATCAATAAATGTCAGATGAGACATTTTGAAATCTTCAATTTTAGCTTTTTTCTTAAAAATTTTAAATTTCATCTTGGAATCATTTGTTGTTACGGCACTTGATGATGGTGATTGGAAATTTTTCAACTTGTTAATTATATTAGAAGAAAAATTTGGCAAGCTACTATCACCACCATTGCCAACATCTAATGATTGATGATGACCGATATCTGATGATAATGATGGTGATTTGACCATCATTTGATTGATGTTAAAATCTTTAAAAATATTATTTTTGCCTGATTTACCATCTGATGTTGATGGTCCGATCCCTGAAATGTTTTGATGGTCGTCATCGTTACTATTGTTGTTGTTGTTGATGTTTTGGCTGTTGGTCAATTGATTAAGTTTCAAGTTATTTCTAATGAAATCGATGAAATCATTGGCTGAATGGCTATTGGACAGGTTGCTAATCATCGATATCGGATTGTTGTTGGAATTAGATTGGTTTACATCATTTTTGTTGTTTGACTGCTGGTGATGACTGTTCTTGTTATTAATAATATCGGATCTAAAGCTTTGTTTATTTGTTGATGTTGATGGACCAGTTTTTTTCTTTTTTTTAATTGACGATGTGTTAAGCTCTGTATGGCTGTCATCATTGATGGATTTTTTCGATTCATCAATACTGTTCGATTGGCCACCATTTCGTATCATTGCCTGTAGCGTGATCAATTTCTGTGCATTGTCTAATAGCTTTTGTAGATCTACATTCGTCTGTGTTGATGTTGGCGTGGGCAATAAATTCGCCGGTTGTTGCTGTTGTTGAATACGATTATTTCGAAGTAAATTATGAAGCGATGAAAAAATAGAACCTTCAGCACCGCCAACATTTTTCACTGAACCTGTAAATGCTGGCACGAATATTTTACGAAATAATTCTGATAACACTGAACTGATCATCATATCAAATTGATAACGCATCAAACGTGGTGCTACCAATGAAAGTAAAAGCTGATTGAATGAAAAAAATAATCGCCGATCAGTCGGTCTATGTCGTAGTCTATTAAAAAATATGGAGATTTTATTATTATATTCAGTCAAATGATTATGATGAAGGTATTTTCGTTGTTGTTGTTGTTGTTGTTGTTTTTGTTGTAGTTGATGATTTGAATCGGCCTGTTTTTGAACATCTATAACGTGATGAGAATGATGGACATTTGACTTGTTTGCATAAATATGATGAGGATGATGATGGAAATAGTTTGGATGAAAATAATAATATTCACTATCTATCGGCGTTGTAGCATCATGATAATTTATGAGGATTACAGTAAAAATAATTGACACAATAAATATATTGCCTGGACAAAAATAAAAATGTTATTTTATTTTATTATATCATGGTCTTTTGTCGTTTGTGTTCGTTATATTATTCAAATGGTCAATTCAATAGAAAAAAACCTTACCAAATCTCATGATGAATCCCTGATATTTGATGGTAACATCTTGAAGATGTCAATGAATTTTGAACGTTGTCTTTTCGTTAACGTCATCAATAGAAATAAAAATCAAAGGGAAATTTTCTAATATTGAAATGTGAATCAAATTTATAATTTTCAATTTATAGTTTATTTTGAAAGAGAGAGTAAATTTTAAGCCCCCAATATTTTGTCATTCATTGTTTCAATACTACTTGTTGACTGTTGTTGTTCTTAGATTCTCTCTTTTTTTTATTGTTTCGTTGATCTGATCTTCAATCATTATTACCATTCTAGTTACCATCATGACTATCACAAATCACAAATAGATAATAAAATTAAAAATAGTAACCGGGTACCAATATTTAATTTGATTCGAAATTATTAAATTGATCATCTTCAATATAGATCGATCGTCTATGTTTTTATTGTATATTGTCATTATTGATCGATAAAAGATATTTAAATCAAGTTATGACATTTTTCTTCTATATAATTAATGATTTTCATATTCATAATAGAAAACATGACAACACTTGATCTACAACATTGTATAATCGTATGTTCTTCATTTGGGTAACACACACACAATTGTCAATTACATGATAAAGATAATTTTATTTCTGTTCATTGTTAATGAAATGGTTTTATATCTTGTTTTATATTATCTTTACCTTTTGATAGAAATTCCAATCAACAAATATAATGTTTATGTTTTGATTGAATAAGATGATATTCTAATCCAATTAATAGATTTAGATTTAGTTGTTTATCTATGTCATATAATTGAAAACAATTGATTAATGTATAAATGAATAATGAGTGAGAGTGTGATAAAGATAGATTGATATCGAACAGTGGCTAATGAATGATTGGTCATCGACCTAGCCTATCTATCTATCTTTCTATTGATAAGATTTAGGAGGATGAGCAAAACTAGAAAAAATCGTGTTTCTATCAATTTTATTTTATTTTTTCTTTATATTGTGAATAGAATGTATTCAAACACACACACACAATATGGGTAAAATTTACATATTGTTTTGGGTATTGTTGTATATTATGAAATAATAAATCATAATAATAGTAATTACATATATTGAAAATATGACAATATGATTTGAATTTTTTTTTCTCAATTTAAAATTATATATTACAATCATTGAATCATCGATCCTGGTCATTGTGATTTATCATTCTTTCTTTTTGAAAACCCCTTGAATCCATACACGATACATTTTTTTCTTATTTGCACGATTCACCTGTAATCGTCTATCTACATGAAGATTAATTTTCGTGAGAATCTTTGTTTCGGTGAATATTAGGTCAACTTCATTTTCTTCGAAAAAATAAGCACGAGTTCCATCACCCCGAACATAAAATCTATCCTTTATGCATCGACCTTTATTGAAACGAATCTGTGCCATATCATATTGGCCATAATCACGGAATAAAATTATTCCATTTGGTTTGAGATAAGGAATCATATTTAAAATGACTTGTTTCTGGCATTTAGGATCAATAGCCGATAGAACAAATATCATAGTTATTATATCCAAACTTTGTGGTATTAATGGGGATGATTTCCAATCACCTGTTATGTCTAAAACAAAGGCATTGCAACGATTTTCATCATATAAAGAATTATCACGAACCAATTTGACAGCTTTTTCTGAAAAATCACAACAATAAATGAATAAAGATTTATGATTATCAATTTCAAGTAGAGGAAACACTGTGTTTCCAACACCACAACCCAATTCCAGGATATTTTTTCTTGTTTCATTTGGTGTAAGTTCGGGAAATTCGGTTAATATCCAATGCCGATCTTTGAAGAATTTATTTTCATGTTTTTCATAAAAATTATCCCAATATTTAAAAGCATTCGTTTCGAATTCCAAAGCTTTTTCATCCGAAACTTTATCACGAGAATTGGATGCAACTTTTTCAACAATATCTTTTTTAAAATCTTCATCCCACATAACATTGTCCCAGGCATTATGAGTAAAAATATCGGATTTTTCATCCAAAAAACGATTCCCAAATTTGGGCCGTTTATCGTTGTCCATGATTGTCAAGAGAATATCTTTATTAATAAAAATATTAATTCGAAAAAAAATAAAAACAATATGACAAAATACACGTGGTTTCAGGATTTGTTTGGATTCTTTGTTGTGATAGAATCCATAAGAAATAAAAAAAAGTAATTCAAATGGCCACCATTAGATGGCAGAAGCATTTCGATTTCAATTATGATTTCCAAATCTTTTGATGGCTTCTTCGAATGTTTTTAGAATTGGTCCGATCTCGATTTTATTACTCATTTCATAACTAATGGAATAATATAACATTTAATTGAAATGAAATTATAAATGAAAAATTCTACAATATACTTACAGCTCATCTAGAAAATTTGTTGTACTTCGCTTTCGTCGACGTCCAGCCGTCAGGTTAATTGTTCCTTGTGTCATCATCGTTGTCATCAATGTTCCCAACAATGGTATTAATAATGTTCCAAAACCAATGACTATAATCAAAGGTACAATCCAACTATAATCAGATTTACCGGCAACATCGCCATAATATCTTTTATAATATATTGCCATATTTGATGGATTTTTAGTAATCAATGAATATATCGAAACTGTAAAGTACTCACCCATCAAGATAACCGTAACCATAATTATCATAGCCTCGTGATTTTGGTTGTTGCATAGCCATCATATGAGCTTTCAGTTTGGAGATTAATTTATCCGTCATCTGTGTGAAAGTGGCCGTCGAATTAATATTATCCGAATGGATCATTGTGGCCATCGATGTTGTCACCAATAAAAACAGTATCCAAAACATTATTATCACTGGTAAATTCAAAATTTTTGATCTAATGGTTGTAAAATGTCTGATAGTCAATCGACAAATGTGAAATTTGATATGATTGTTTGTTCTTTTTAACCGAATAAGTGAAACCGTTTCTTTTCATTTAATTTAAATTATCATCATCACCTTAATTGAAAAAAATTCTAAATCATTCAAATCAAAATATTATTATAGAGAGAAAATTCGCTTTTCACATTATATCAGTGTCTGATTTCTTTTTTTAAAAAAAATTTTCATTTTTTTAATACAATTATTTGGAATAATATAGATGTTCAGTGGAACAGAAAATTTTTGCACTAATTATTATCGGTGTTGCTATCATCACTCAGCCATGAATTCTATTGAATCCTTATTGTGGATAGAAAGACGAAGAAAAAGAAGAAAAAAAACAGGATGTCTGATTGATTGAACGATTGATTGTTCTATTACGGATTTTAGCCGAATTAAATTCATTATTATTATTAAAGAAAATGATTACATTCGCTAAAACGGATTTCAATTTTTATTTTTAAATTAAAAAAAAAATGTAATGAAAAAAATTAGTTAAAAACATTTATTATTATTTTTTTTTTAAATTTTTTCAAAAATTATAAAGAATTTAATGTTTTATTTGAATTCATCAATTTGATAGCAGGCAATGCTTTTTTCCGGTTTGGATTTCGATTGATAAATCGATTCGAAGCAACAATATAGGTAAGAAACGTACTGAATTGTGGTATTAGAAAACTACCCATTGTGGCCAACAAACTGACAGCAAGAATTTCATATATATTCGCATCAGTATATTGACTTCGTTCAGGTAACAAAATTTTTGTTCGTTCAATATTCGATAATTTTGATCGTGTCGATAATGATCGAATTTGTAATGATTGATCATGATGATCGATTGGACAGCCAATGGTAAAAAACATGGGAAAACATAAAGAAATCCAGAAAAATTTCATCATTTTTATTTGTCGTTTATTTTGTTGTTGTTTACAATTTTGGTTGGATACCCAACCAATGGTTGTTAATGACATTCGTTTAAATACTATTCTCTCGCAGTATCATCATATTATTATTTTTTTTGAGTTAATTAAAATTTTTTTTCTTATTTGATTTATCAAACATACGCCTTAGAATTGTAGTGTGGATGCAATTCACCTAAAGAATAGAGTAGAAAGCTGAAGAGAATTTTATCCTACACCTTTCAAAACATTCATAGACAAATGAATTGTGTATTATTGAAAAAAAAGTGTCATGAAAAACACATTAAATAATTTGATTCAATTCAAGTGAAAAATTCCATTTCATTCAAATGAATGAATGAATAATTTCAACCTTAATTTTGTTGTAGTATACTAGATGTATATGTTCCGGTCATGATCATTGGGTTTCATTGTTGTCGTTCGACAAAAAATATAGTAGTAACAAAGTTGATATTATGACCCAACTTTTTTTATTATTATTAAAAGGTTAGTCGTTTATGTTTATGTTTATGTTGTTGTCATAAATGATGATGATTATTTTGACAATCATCATCATTTATAATTTGCTCATCATCGTGTAGTCGTCATTCAGCTCAACAATTTCCATTGATAATAATCATGAATTTTTTAATTAAATCAAAATTTTTGATTTTATTTTTATTTAATTATTTATGTTTTACATCATCATTGAAGTATTTTATGACACAAGATGATCTTCGTCATCGTATTGAACATCAATCAAAATTATCATCAATACAACCAAAGGAAAAACTTCAAACATCAAATTCGAATCTATTCTATATTGAAGAAAGTGGTGATACACATTCAATGGTTACACCGATGGTTGATTATGGTCATCATCATAGTTTACATGATAGTGGTTATAATATGGCACCGGAAAAAAAACATTCAAAATTTTTCTCAGAAGAAATAAGTTTCGTTGTAGCCGTCGTTACATTAGCTGTTTTTCTTTGTTTTTTATCGTAAGTATGAAAATCGGTTTTTTTAAATTTTTATTTTAATTGAAGATGATTTCGATTTTTTCCCAACATCCACAATTCTTAAGATCGGTTTTTATACCTTTAGCTTTTCTATTTTTCTTCAATGGTGGTATACTTCCTTTTGGTGGTGGTCTTAATAGCTTGTTTCCCATAACAAATACGATCACAGCTGGCGGTGTTGGATCTATGGTAATGGGAAAACGAAGACGAAAACGATCATCATCGACAAATGATCGAGATACAAGTTTATATGATCAATATTTTGATCTTTTTTATTCAGCAATGAAAAAATTTCAATAATTAATTTCAAAATTTAAAAAACATTTATTTTATATCATAAACATAAATTTTTTATTCAAATAGAAAAAAAAATTATTAACATATCACGAATATGAAAACATAAACTAACTGTCCATTAATCATGATGATGATGATGATGATGATGATTGTTTATAAATTGGCACTTTTGTTTGTCGTGCCCGATTTAAGGCATCTAATAAGGTTTCACGATCTAAATATGAAGATGATGGTTGATTTCCATCAACATCCATTCTTCGATTCGGTATACGAAATAAATTAATTATTGGTTTAACAACGATACCAAACGGTAATGTCCAATAGGCCACCTCTAAACTATGTAATATGGTCACTAAAAGCGCTGGATCCGTCACGAAAGAAGTGATTGTGCTAAATATACTTTGTCCCTCTTTCTTATCGATCATCGATGTGAAATCACCCATTCTTTTAACCACGGATAAATTTGGATTTTGATACAGCTGCTGTTGTTGTTGTTGTTGTTGCTGCTGTTGTTGTTGATATTGTTGCTGTTGCTGTAATCGTTGTCTTAGAAAAAATGTTGCTGAGGTATATGAAAAACATTGAGAAATAATTAGCAAAACCATCAAACATGTGATCAATGATCGACAATGTTGATCCATCTTGATTAATAACAAACAACAATTGATAAAAGAAAAATTTCAAAAAAAAATAATGTAAAAATTGTTCAATGTTTTAAAAAATTATTAAACATTTCAAATTTGTCAACGACGTTGAACAGCATAAAAAATCGATCCGTAATCATTGTACATGTCGATCATAATGTTATCCGGAACATGTTCATTGTATATGAGTATGCAATAAAAAAAACCATTTGAAATGCAAACAAGTCAAAAAAAAAAATTATGTGTCTGAAACATTTTATTATTTATTATTGTGTTTGACAGTTTGTTGTTATTATTATTGTTGCAGTAAACATTGACCAAAAAGGAACGATTGTAGAAAGAAGAAAAAATAAATAAATTTCTCATTCCCTCCCCCAATCTACTAGTCTTCAAATAACGGGTCGAACAATGTACACAAAAAAAAAGAAATTAGAACTGGTTTCTTTATAATTTTTTTTTCTTCGTTTTCCTATCCCATTCACATTTCCTAAATACAATTTGTTTTTCTTTGTTCAAAATACTCTATCGTGTTTCTTCTTCCACAATTTTCTCAAACAAAAAAAAACTTTTTTCTAATTTTAAGTATTTTGGGTCAAGTCAAAAAACCATATATACCAAAAAAAGAACGATTAACTCCTTTGGTATAAATTCGGTTTTAAACTCTAAGCACACACAATGCAGATGATATAAACGTGTTTGTGTACGTATGACGTCCATAATTATTCATATGAAATACCATGTTCATATTTATTCCACCTTCGAATGCAAATTATTCATTTGTTTGAATTTATTCAAACAAATAAATCGGGCACACAAACACACAATTCATAATGATATGATTTTCGAATACAAATATGTCGGTCATTATTGTTTTCTTTAGATTGTCAAATCAAGAAAATCAAATTCTTTTGAATTTTAAATCGATTATCACTAATATAGGAAATACTATTGAGTGTGAATTTAATTGAATTCGAATGGAAAAAAATCATTGAAAAAAATGGATTTAAAAAATGAAATTTTTAATATTAATCTTTTTTGGATCAGGAAACAATGTGTGTTTTTTTTTCGTTTGTTTGAAATATAAATCGTTTTATCCAGTTAATGTTGATCGATTGTTGCATTATTTTCGGATGAAATATTTTGTTTGTTCATCATTCGTAAAAAATTTCGCATTGCCCATTCAAACAATTCATCATTAAAAAGATGATGATTGTAGGGAACGCTCTTTGTAATCGACAAACTTCGACGTCTACGTCGACGACCAGCACCAGTTGGAAAAAATTGCTTTTGTGATAAAATAAATCAGATTTTTTTTCTTTTAAAACGATCCTTTTTTTCTATGGATTCACATTTGACTTACCTGTATGACGTAGATACCAATCGGTATAAGTGGCATTATTAATGATGATAAGCCTAGCATACCAATTGTGGGCAAAGCAATCAAAGCTGAATAAATCGACCAATGATAAATGATCAATTAGGTTAATCAATTATTTTTATGCAAAATATTTACCAATGATGATTAATGGATCTACCATGAATGATGCGGCACGTTCATTTGAATCAATCGAAGATTGAGTTACGGGTAATAGTTCTGGTGCTTGTTGCTGTGATTGAAAGGGTAATTGTTGTTGACCATTTGTAACTACAAAATATTTTCCTGGTGAACTACTTTGTGCTGAAACTCTTCTAATATTTGATGCGAATGAAATTGGTATATTTATGGAGAAATATGCAATCAAAATTACATAGAAAAATGATAAATGATTCATATTGAAAGTATGTTGTTGTGTACAAATGCAACAATCTGATCAAGTCGAGTATCATAGATAAAATGAAACAACAATCTTCTGAATCACAAGAAAATTAAAGAAGATTCTCAATGAAAAAAATAAAGAAAATTTATTCATCTAAATAGATTGTGTTAATTAGAATAAAGATTACAATAGAAATTGAGGTTTCACCAGCCTTATTATTGATCGTTCTAATTAACGGTCATCCAACATTTGTTAGATTGTTCCACATTGGTGACAATATTTTCCATATCATTTGTTGCTGTGTTAAAAGACTGCTGTTGTTCCCATTTTTCACTGTTGCATGCGGCGATTGAAGTAGACCTTGAAATTCAATATGGACAATAAAAAAATATGCAAAGAAAAAACAAACAATTTTTACCAATTGTTTCCGCAATCTGTATGATATAATAAACACTTTTCAATCCGGACGGTATCATCAACAATATGGTCAAAATCGGAATAAACATCATAGCAAACGACGTAATTAGCCAATCGGATATGATGGATTTTTTGCGGATGATCATCATATGTCTTCGGTGATTGGCATTTAAAATGAATGGTAAAGTATTATTCAATTTTGTTGAATGAATGTTTTTTACATTCCAATTGACGAAAGGATTTGAAACGTGAATAGGTTTTTCAATCATTTTGGCGATGTTACTATTTATAGTGGATGAGGAAGTTTTTGCAAACAATATATTGGATTTTTTCTCCGGATATTTTAAGATGTTTCGTTGAAACAGGCACCAAATCAATTGTATTTGATAGTTAGAATAGAAACATAATAGTATGAACATCATCATTATATAATAATCAATGTACATTTTTTTTTATTTTGAAATTCATCAATGATTCATCAACGGCATCTAAAAACTAATGATTGAATCTACTGACTAGATCAATGGTTTTTATTTTATATTATAAGACCTTTATCGACAAGCAAAAATTCGAAACCCAAAAATTCAATCAAGGATGAAATGATCAGAAAAAAATGTCATCATTTTCTATCAATTGTTGTCATCAGAATCATATCATTTTTTTTTATTGTAACCATAATAATTTCATCAAAATATCAAAAGCCTGAATGAATTCTAATTCAATCGAAATTGTTCATTCATGCTGTTTGCCGATTTGTTGTTGTTGTTGTTGTTGTTGCTGCTGCTCATCATAAGGATAATTATACTTGTCCATAGCTTTATTATAAAGGTGTAATAACAATGGTCCTGTTTTTGATGGATATGATGATGAAGTTGTCAAATCTGTTCGTCTCCAAATATTCGCCATGTTATCCATTGCCATTGAATTTTTATCATCAATCCTATAATGACCATATGGAAATGCTAATAAAAGTTCTGTATAGATCAGTAAAACAAGATCCATGTAACCTGTGTGTGGCGGAAAAAATTAAATTACCTTTTTCTGCAAAAAATAATCCCAATGTTAATAATCGTAATAGAAAATAGCCAACACTGAATGATAAAGCCATTGGTACAATGCCATTCATAACGTGTGGTGCTGGTGAATAATAATTAATTCATTCAATAGAAAAAAATGACAACTTTTTTTCATTCATAATCGCTTACCTAATAAAATTGGATCGATAGGCTTACCTGGCATATAACGCATTCCATATGGATTTGGAAAAGAAAATTTTGGTATTGGTGGTGGTGCAGAAAACGTAGACATCATATTATAATTTGGAACCATACGAGAACTCATTGGTTCATTCGTTATGTTTTCATTTTGTGCCCAACAAGCAAAGATTGACAAGTTTGTCAATATAAACACATATGGTATTAGTTTATTCATTTTAATAATTTAGATTCGTTTGCTGTTGTCAACTTGATAAGTGATGAACAAAAAATGATCAAATTTTTAGACTAAACAACGTTATTTATAAGATATTGTCTGATAAAAAAGGTGTCATATTTCTGAAATAAAAATGTAATCTATTCATACTATATTGTCGCCATTGTCATAACATTATAATTAATTCAACATCCGGTCAACATGGTGATGGTCAAACTTATGTGTAAACATTATGTTTCTAACAGATGTCTATTTGAATAAACAAAACGATTCATGTGATACTGTGTATATAAATGGATGCTCCATTTTTTTCTCTGAGTAGTTTTTCAGTACAAATTCTTTTCAACATTCATTGCATTAACCATAACAAAAAAAACACGATGACCAATTGGCGTATTTCCAATGCGATCATGACCGCATTTTTTGCTATGGCTACATATGTACAACATAATGATGATCATCCAATTTTTTGGATGCTTGTTTATGCGTTACCTTGTTCGATAACCTTTTCAATGATGATTGATTTAAAATTATGTCACACAATTCATATGCAAAGATTTTTATTATTGCTATTAAATATGTATTTATTTTTCTCCATCTATCTTTTTATTCGTGCTATAAAAGTTGTGATTGAAAACAATCATTATAATCTACTTGAATTTCAAGAATGTAAAGAATTATTCGGAATTCTCATCATTGAATGTTGGTTAATGATTTGTATATATGTTATTAATATACGAACACCACTTGAAGCATGGATGACTTCTGTATCGAAATTGGTCATTTTTTTACTCAGTATTTCACCCATATTGTTATGGATATATCATGGTTGTTTTCGGATATTCATATCAAATTCAAATAACACCGATATCAGGACAATCGTCATTGGGCGCAATAATTTTTCAAATTTAACTGCAATATAGTCGCCATCTAGGACAATATGAAACAACTATTCGTGGGGTGATCAACCGCTACAATTATCATAATATCACAAGGACTTGATGAGAGTGAAAAAAATACCTTCGTTTTTTGCAGTTTTTTTCGCATCAATATTAAATGTTTACATTGTAAAAGAAAAATAAAACAATTTTCATCCAAAATGTTTCCATTCATTCGAAATGTTTGTTCCAAGGTATTATCTTGTTTATTTTTTTCGAATAAATTCATTGTCATTCATTTTTTTTGATAGAATCTTAATATTTTGAATCAATTATGTAAAAAATCTGTACAAATATGTACCCAACGAACTTTGGCCTCATCACACTTACCATTGAATATACTCAGTGAAGAAGAACTTGCATTTAAAGAATTAGCCGCAAAGATTTCCAATGAAAAAATTGCACCATTAGTTCGGAAAATGGATAATGAAAACAAACTCGATCCTAATATCATTAAATTATTGTTCGAAAATGGGGTATGTAGTTGAATGAATTTAAATATTAAAGTTTTAAAATTCTGCTCAATTAAAGTTCATGGGTATTGAAATTGATCCTGAATATGGTGGCACTGGAGCATCATTTGTATCTGCTATCATTGTAATCGAAGAACTTGCTAAAGTTGATCCATCGGTTAGTGTGTTCTGTGATGTTCAAAATACGCTTGTTGCTCTTAATTTCAAATATTATGCATCTGAAGAATTGAAAGAAAAATATTTTCCAAGAATAGCTCAGGATACGGTAATATTTATCCATTTCGTTTCATAGGTTGAGATTCGATTATTTATATTTTAGGTGGGTGCATTTTGTCTTTCAGAAGCTGGATCTGGTTCCGATGCATTTGCGATGAAAACCAAAGCAGAAAAGAAAGGCGATTACTTTGTAATTAATGGAGAAAAATGTTGGATTACAAATGCTGGACATGCTGGATTTTTTGTTGTTTTTGCCAATGCCGATCCTTCAATTGGGTACAAAGGTATCACTTCATTTGTTGTTGATCGTGATACACCTGGTTTAACTGTGGCTAAACCTGAAGATAAATTGGGAATACGAGCTTCAAGTACATGTCCTGTGATATTCGAAGATGTAAAAGTTCATGAATCGCAAGTTTTAGGCAAAGTTGGCCAAGGTTATAAATATGCAATACAGACGCTAAATGAAGGTCGAATTGGTATTGGCGCCCAAATGCTTGGATTGGCTGAAGGAGTGTTCGATCATGCTGTCAAATATACGCTAGAACGAAAACAATTTGGTCAAAGCATTTTTGAATTTCAGGTTTGATTTACGATTCATTTATTCCATTATACAATGTTAAAATGGTTTTTTCACTTCATCAGGGAATGCAACATCAGATCGCAAAAGTTGCCACAGAAATAGAAGCGGCCAAATTGTTGGTTTATAATGCAGCAAGATTGTCCGAATCTGGTCGTCCATTTATAAAAGAGGCAGCAATGGCCAAATTATATGCTTCCGAAGTGGCAGCGTCTGCCAGTTCAAAAGCAATCGAATGGGTTGCTGGTGTTGGATTTACTAAAGACTATCCATTCGAAAAATATTACCGTGATGCAAAGATTGGTGCCATTTATGAAGGAACGTCAAATATTCAGCTAAACACTATTGCCCGTTTGGTTGCCAATGAGATTAAAGAAAAAGAATGAATCAAATCATTTGTTGTATTCTACAGCAGATAATTCAATTGTATTTTGTCTATTTTATCATAATAGAATTTTTTATTTCATTTTCTCTTTAAATAACAAGCAAAAAAAAAGATGATTAAAACAAATCACAATCTCTTTTTTTCCTGTCGAATTAATGGTGTAATTAAATGTCTTTTTTTTCTCATTGACTAAACAGTGATTTATATAAAAACCTTTAACTATTAGTCGTCGTTGTCGTAGTCATTCGTTGAAGAATTGAATAAAGTTTTTCTTTGGTTTGATGATCTATCATATAATAGGTTCAGGAAGTCTATCTATTCCCATAAGTTTCCTCTTTTTTTCCCTTTAGTGTTAATTTGATATAGTTTGAACATTTTCTTTAGGACTTAGGAATCGTTACCAGTACATACACACGGGTATATATAGAAAAAGATACATTTACAGAATCCCGGTTTGTCATTGGAGCTCACCCCCACCAACAAAAAAAAACAGACAAACAGTAAACGAGCATTATATTTACGAAATCGTGATGATGATGATGATGATGATAACAGCTGTTCAATTTTAGTAATATGCCAATGGAATAAAGAGAGGAATAAAACTATTGAGAAATAGAAAAAAAAGATAGATTCAGAATAGAGGATTCAAATTATAATAAAAGTCTCTGGAGAGAATATTGCTCTCTCTCTCTCTCTCTCTCTTCTCTTTCTCTTTTCCTTTTCCTTTTCCTCTCAATTTTCCATTCCAAATCTATTTGCCTATTTTCAGAAAAAAGACCGAATTTGTAATCGGAAAAAAATGTGCCTAGATTAAAAGTGAAGTTTGATATTTATGGGCAAAAAGATTAAAAGATAAAAGTGAATATAATTGGAAAATTGGAAGATAGACATACATAGATAAACATTTCAACTAACATCAGACAGCCCATCAAATGTATACTAGTGGGTAATAATAATGTTAAGCCCGACCATGTTTGAGGCAATGGCATCAGCTATTAAAAAAAAACGAAAATCATTTTGCTATATAAATATATTGAATGTAGCGAATACTCGATTCGGGAATTGAAAGAATCAATGATTGACGTACATAAACACACACACTTGATTCACACTAAATACTAAATTAACTCTTGATGGTGATATAATGAATTTATAAATTAACTTGATGAACGCACACACACAAACACAAACACTTGCATCACAGAAAAATAAATGCTTTTCTCTATGATTGTATTTACTGTAACAAAACAAAAATCTATAGATATTTCATCCATGCATCAAACGGGAATGATAATGATGATAATAATAATGATAATTAGCTTCAGATTTTTTTTTCGTTGAAAAAAATGTATCATAGGTAAACAGTGATTCTTTTTGATATATTTTTGAGGAAAAAAATTGTTTTTTATCATCGTTAGTCGATACTAATCACTGTTATGGAACTCCCTATCCATCGATTAATGATAAAACCAATATCTTTATTTCGTGTTTGAATTGTAAAAAACAGAGAGAGAGAGAGAGAGAGGGAGGAAATCCACTGGGTTTTGTACATTTCGTGAATATTATAGCAATCCTGAATGTGTGAAGTCTCTCATTCATTATTGTTTGTTCGAGAACAATATAATAATTCAAATAATATTTGTATTTGGATTCAAATGTGTGTGTGTGTGTGTGTGTATCTGTAAGTGTTTGTATGATCCATTTAAAAATGAATGAATCAAACATTATCTTGTACAAATAATATAGATTGTGCTGATGTGTTTATAGATTTGAAAATAATTTTTTTTTCGCAATATATATTATTATTATAGCCACTCAATCAAATGTTGATGTATAAATATTAGTGAAAAAAAAGAATTGTTATGAGAGAGTGAGAGTGTGAGTGGCTAATTTATCCATTATTACCGCAAACAATAACTATACATTTTTTTATTCATTCATATCTGAATGTATGAATGATTTTCCAATTGATCTCGGTTGTTTTTTCTTTTTTTTCCTTTATATGATTTCGATCCCAGAAAAAAAATGAAAAGAAAAACAAGAGAAATCGAAATAAATGATAATGTCACGCTTGCCTAACTTTGTTGTTGTTGTTTTTTTTTTGATTCTTCCTCATCTTGGTGGTGGGTACCGAATAAACCAAATAAAATGAGACATTATACTATTGAATGATATTAAATTGTGTTCCAACATAGTACCAAAAAACATTGTGGTTATTGTTGTGTGTGTGTGTGTTTTTGTATTAGCTCGTTTATGTTTTATGATAATAATAATAATTGTAATATTATGTCGTGACACCATCCATCCATCCATCCATTCATCCATCCATTCATTCAACCGAATTGAATCGAACAAAGAACACAGAACAGAAAAAAATTTATACACACAAAAAAAAATATTATATTCATATATATTTGTTTATCAAGAAGTGTTGATGTGTTTTATTTGTATTTTGTTGTCAATTTTATGCTTGAAAGGGCAATTATAATTTTTCTTATCATTATCATCATCATCATCATCACTTTATTCGTATAAAACTTATATATCTATACTACTGTTATGGTAATGATTTGTTATCATTTCATTTCTATATGATAATTTCATATTTTTGTTGCCATGTATTATGTTTTTTTTTATTTCTCAATTTTGCTCTTCGTATTAATGTTCTCAATCAAGCGTATTACAGAATTCGATTTTCGATATATCGATTCTTTTGGAAATTAAAGATTTTCTGATTATTAACACGCTAATAACAACTAGTAGCTACCTATTTAATGAGAATTGTATCAATAATTAAATTTCGTGATTTTTTTTCCATTTTGTTACTAATGACCAAATTCTCTGGTGAGATGATTCTTTTAAGAATCATTCAGATACAAGCATATTCAGTTTGAATTTCAAGTTAACAAAACTAAGCAGCTGAAAAGTTTTCCATTTGAATCTTGATTGTTGAGAAAAAGAGAGAGAGAGAGAGAAAAAAAAATTAATTAATTAACGTAAAAGTGCTGAGTTTTTAATTATTTACCAGTTCATTTACCTCACATTTATTCACACAAACGAAATTTATGGGGGAAAAAAGTAAAATTAATCAACAAAAATTTCAACGAGAAAATTATTCTTTCTTTTGTGTTATTGATTTACGCTGACCAAAGCAAAATAAAGTTTATGCGAAAATTTCTTTCATTCTCAACTATATAGTTTTACTATTAATTGTTTACCATGTATAACATCAATATAAGAGTACAATGATCCATTTATCTGAACAAAAGTAAATTGAAAAATCCTGATTATTTATTGGCTTTTATCATCTTGTTTCTATGTTTTAGTTAATGGTTGGAAATTATTATCATTATTCGAATGTCCCATTCATTTCAAATATTGATGTTGTAATACCAACAACAATAATATAACAACAGGACATTGTGATGGACATATCAGCGTCTATCATTATCATTTATTGCTAATCATTATCATTCAGAATGACAAATAAATGGGGAGAGAAAAAAAAAAAACTAAAAAATCGAATCATTCAATATTTGTAGTTGTTGAAAGTCGAATGGCTTTGGACAAAAAAAAAGATGAAAAGATGAAAAAAAAACTAAAAGCCTATTAGCTTGAGAGTGACTATTCAACGACAACAATAGCAACAAACTACTGGTTAGTTTGATTCATCAATGATGATGGATCCGGGAGTAAGATTAATGAAAACATACATAGTTAATAAGCTAACAACATAAACAGAGAGAGAGAGAGAGAGAGAGAGAGAGAGAGAGAGAGAGAGAGAGAGAGAGAGAGAGAGAGAGAGAGAGAGAGAGAGAGAGAGAGAGAGAGAGAGAGAGAGAGAGAGAGAGGGTCCGGCGGTCCAAATATATATCATACCACGGTTTTTTTTCATTGTTGACAGAAATACAATGATTGAGGAACATTTTTTTTCGTTTTGTTTTCACTATATACCATTTTCTCATATTTGAAAATTTAGATTAAAATCCAATAAAACATTGTTATTCTTTTTTTTTCTTCCTTTCTTTAGTTGATTTTTTTGCCATCATTATCATTACATTTATATGCGTGTGTGTGTGTGTGTGTGTGTGTAGGTAAACATAAGCTATGAACTTTTTTTTCCAGAAAAAGGAATCTGAATAATAGATTCAAAATACATGCTGGTGTGTATTGAATTGAATATATTCAATACGGTGGAAAAAAACATACACACCAAATATATATATAATACCTTAATTTCGAACCATGTTAGATGACATAATAAAAAAAATACGAAAAAAAAAGAAATTTGAGTGCACAAAAGAAATTCTCTTCAATAGATTATTATTACTATTGATAAATTATTGATTGATTCATTTGCTTTTTTTATTATTATTATTATTATCAAAACTATTAATATTATTGTTATTGCTGTTGTTGTTGTTGCAGTTGTTGGGTTATTATTATTTTCAATCATTCAGCCAATTCGTTGACAATCCATTTGAATGTAATGACTGACTTTTGATTGTTGTTTCTATGTTGTTGTTATACATTGTCTGAATTGTATTTGAATTGGGCTGATCTAATGGCAATATATATAGATTTGTGTTTGTGTGTTTGACTTTAATGCAATATTTGACTTTTAATTATCGATTCAACAAAAAAAAGAAGAAAATAATGATGGCGAAATTTTCAAAAAAAAAGTATAATAAATCTTGAAAATTTTTTGGATCAGTTGCTTTTTTTTACCATCTATCTTTTAATTACACCCACACAGAGTATTAAAAAAAAGTGCAAGGAATAATGAGACAAACATTCATTTGTACAAACGATGAAACCAAGAATTATCGATTCATTGAACAACTCAATCGAATACATTTTGTTGTAAATGAATACTCATAAATTTATTGGACTAATAATAATATATTGACCCACTAAATCAACGATCCAAACTAGACTATTTTTTTCAAAAGGAAAAAAAATTATTATTAAAGCTATTATCATTGTCCCATCGGATGGGTGATGGTGGTGGTGGTGATCATTCGATATTGTACCCTCTATCTATTTAATGTTTATAATTGGTCTTGTTATCGTTGTCGTTGTTGTTGTTGTTATTGTTGGGCATCATTGAACATCATCACCGTCATCCACATTAACTATCTCATCATATAATAATGTGTACATATAATATATAGAAAAAAAACTATTATAAGTTCCATTAGTTTGGATTACTTACGTATGTCGTATGGTGGTTGTGTACAAATGTTAGTTGATTCTGTTAACAAAAACAGCATCATCATCATCATCATCATCATCAGCATCAACAACAACAATGAAAAAAAACCCGAAAAAATGGATGTTTAGATGCTTTTATCTTTTTTTTATATACTTTTTTTCATTTATATATACGTGTGTTTCGCCTTCACAACAACAAATTGTATTTGTTGTTGTGAATACTATCCGAAAATAAAAATAAAAATAAGAAATCGACTATATAACTGTTTTGAACACATTTATAACATCATTCTTTTCGATATAGTTTTTGACAAACAATTTTTGGTTTGTTACCAAAAAGAAAAAAAATTAGATTTAAAATCAAATAATTTTCTCTTTATCTTCACAATGTTTAATTTCATTTGTTGTTTTTATTAAGTTTTGTTTTATTTTTAATCTATATAATGCTATATATATTCGATTGTTAGGGAAACTATAATTGTGAACCAGAATCTGGTTTGACACCCATTGGAAATATACGTGTGTTTATGTTTGTGTATATTTTATACTTTTTTCCTATTATTTAATGGTCAATAATAATGTACTAATGTACTTCTGGCATCTATAAAGATTTGTCATTCGATTACGTGTGATGATTATGATGATAGAATCATATTGAGTTGATAGAAAAAGAGAATGAAATGTATGAAGAAAAGCTAACCGACCAACCAACCGAGCCATTATTTGCTTCATCGATTTTTTTACTTCGACAATCGTATTATGCCTTTACAAATTGATTGCATCTATTTCTTATTCTAGTAGTTTTTTTCTTGTTTCTGTTGGCAATCTTCTTATTTGTTTTTTTTCTGTGTTTCTCATTCTTTGCACATTCAATTCTTTATTTTTCTGATGATGATCGTAATTCAGTCACTATTTTCTTGTCGTTTTTTTTCTATGGTCTTCAAATGGAGAAACGAAT